ACCTACCTATAAGGTTTACGATCTATATGAGCCTTACTATCTATACATTAGATAGTTCTCTAAGTCCTCCGAACAGTAAGTAATGTAAAGATGTAAATACTATTCGCGGTTTCTAAGTAGTGAGACTTCGCCGCCCTTCTCTATAGCCCTTAGTAGCGATACCTCTTAGTAAACAGCTCCTCGCTTCGCCGCCGTAGTCCTTCGCTAACAAGGTTCTTAATCGAGATCAACGATGGCTTTTATATAATAAGGCACTGAATAGAACTATTCTCCCTAAGATAGGTATTCTTAACGTCTACTACTCTATAGTTCACTTCACTCCTACCGGGGTTAAAGTTAACGAAGAGAGTCTATTTGTTTCGGTGTGAGTTCAACGATGTTCAAGGCCGTTTAGCCTTAAATTTCTCCCGTGCCTCCCGTGCCTCCCTCGCCTTCCACGTCTCCTTCGTTGCGCGGCAAGGCCGTTTACGAGAAGCGTTATCGACAGAAGGAACGGTAGGTAGAGCAGATAATCGAGCTCGTTTTCGACTAGCTACTCCTCGGGTAACGACTCTAGAATTAGATCGAATAGCCTCTTCTACGGTTATAAGAGGCGACGGCGAACGTCGTGTAAGAGCGCTAAGACTTTCTATGATCTCGAGTATTAAAACTAAGATAAGACTTAACAGCACCGATATAGAAACTTACCTAAACGAGAGTCGCTAGCTAATATAGAAATGCACTAAAGCCTAATATCCTCGGTCTATATCTCTTATTCATCGCTCTCCTATCTCGATTAAAAGGTGAACCTATTCTCGATCTCTTCCTTCGATAAGTAGTTACGGCTAACATCGCCGCTTACGGTCTTTATAAGCTACTCTATATCCGCGGCGCCGTCGTCCGTAGCTAACCGAGGCTCTCCCTAATTAACAGAGTACGGGATAGAGCCTATTGTGACGTCACGATCTAGGTAGTTACGTAAAGTCGTAACCACCGTCTTAACCACCGTCTTAACCACCGTCTTCTACTTCCGCCCAGCCATGCCGAAGGTCTCCTTAAATTCGGTAAAGACGTCGTGAATACGACTAATAGACGCTAGTGCATCTAAATCTATACCGCTATTATAACACTCATTACTACCATTACCTCTGGCGAAAGTATGAGTAAGGAAAGCGACGTCCTTATGTAATTTATTACTTCCTTCTTCTTTCTCGTCGCGTACAGAGTTATACGTATTGTACTTCGCAAGGCTACCTAAAGTATTCTTTCCATCCTCTATGTCTAGCTCGGCAAATCGTCTAGATAAAGTTAGAGAGAAGAGGAGACCCCTAGAAGTTACCGAGTCCGTGACTTCGAAGATGAGTTTTTAGTAGTTAGGGATAGTAGCGTCGAGAATATTAACTAGCTAGTCATTATCTAGTATAATCGGCTCGTCTAGGGAAATACGTCAGTATACACCGTTTACGTATACACTAGAGAATATAGAATCTCCATTACTTATTTTAACTAGCACCGAGCCGAATGCCTACGGCAGCCGTAGCGGCAGAATTAGCACTATCCTCACTGTTCGCCTCGCGACAACGCTCTTTACTAGTCCTATCAACGGGGGCGAGCGATACGGCAGCCTTATAGTTAAGGTCGGCACTTCCTCTAAATTCTATGTCGCTCCGTAGAAAGATATTCTTAAGCGATGGAAGGTCGCTAATTTCGCTTTCGTAGTTGATGTCGTTATCTTTATCGTATTCTTCACCGTCTTTAACCTTATCACTATCGGTCGCGCTGCTACGATATACTCTAGCAAATCGGATGCCGCGTTTATCGGGATCATAAGCCATTAGCTCTAAAATCTCTCGCACCACTAGACGTTCTCGGGCGGCGTCCTAGCCAAAGGCAGTCAAATCGACGAAATCGACGAAATCGACGAAATCCGCATTACCTATAGGCGTCGCCTATTAAGAAGATTTTAAGTTTAATTCGCTCGACACCTAACTAAGGAGACCGATTATAAGAGAATTACTAAAGGTGTGACTCCCGAGAGACGGTGTATTTTCCCGAGATTAATACGCGATGAAAGTTACTATGATTAGAGTGCACTATTTAGAGAGATATAAAGCAGAAGAATGGGTTTAACGGTAGAGAATAGCGAGAAGAACCGGTGCTATTTAAATAGACATTCAGCACTACCCAACGTTCTCCGCGCTTTCCTTTACCTTATAGACGTAGTTCTAAGTCTTTTATAACTACTGAGTTTAAATCCTAGCGTGCTAAAGGCTTCTCTATTAAAGTTTCTAAGCCCCGTGAGACGGGGAGAGCGAAGATCATCATAGTAACGAAGTGAAGCGGATTATATTACCGAAATATCATAAGAGATAAGAGGCTACCGTTATCCTGGGGGTGAGATTAACCCTAGCGACGGTGGTCTCGAGAATAAGGGAATAATATAAGGCGTTAATCTATTCCTCTAGGTTCTAATGGTTTAAGGATATGCTCTCTAAACTAAGATAGTTTACTTTAGTTATTCTTTAACGACCTTACTAGTCTTCTTCGAAATTAGTGGCTAACTTTATAGGGAGACGAGATTCTTATAGCCGTCAAAAGCGGCGGCGCGCCCAGCCCCCGACTATGCCCGAAGCGGCCGGACCGCCTAAACCGCAGGCGGATTTCCCGGCAACGACTTTACAGACGAATTGCTGCCATTCTCAACCGCGACGACGATGACCCTATATGCAGTAACCACGCTTTCTGCTCTCTCCTCCTCTTCTCCTTCCTCCTTCTTATCCTCATGCCCCTCCGCCAATGCTACGGACTTTAATGTAGCCGAAGACCTCGGTGTAATTATACTGGGTACTGAACAAGTGGCTGGCTGAAGGTAGAGCCACATGAATGCGTACATGCATATTACTCGACACCGCCCGAAAAGCGGTAAGCATACGATTGGCCATTGATAGTTTCTCACCGCCAGGTTTTTTGCTATGCGTTAGAGTTTGAGGATGGAGACAAACTGGCGGCGTTGGAATTGAAATGCGAAGGCGATTTTGCAATACACATGGCAGGTCGACGATTGGCTGTGTCTCTGCAAAGGTCAGCGGCAATTACCTGTCCTCCCAGCTATAAAATATCCTGAACATCTGCTTTTTCCATGTCACTTCGTTGCCTTTTCACTCAGGCTTGTCGAGCAATTTATCCAGCCAACATGGCGCATTGGTGCTATTTTATCGTCAGCCCAGATCCGACACACCTTTATGGCATGCAATGGGTTAACTCCATCTGATCCCTAAGCCTAGGGATCTTGCTTACATTCTTATAGGACAATAACAGCAACAAGAACGTCTTCTTTGTTAAGTTTGGAGATGGGCAAGCTAGGGAGGCTTACAGCACCCACAATCCTTCTATTGAGTAGAATGATCTTTTTCTCCCCCCTCAGAAAAGGGTCGTGTCGAGCTAACCATTTCAAGCTACACGGAAAACAATCAAAGCGCGACTGCCACAAGGAATATCTCCGTTACCCAGGATGGAAAAACTGTGGAAGTTTCGCGGAGGATCGGCAAGTGTCTGGAATGGACCTTCTTCAAACTTCACAGCAACCTCAGCAGTGAGTAGGAATCCAGTGCTGGTCCGGGTTCGGGGTTGAAGTTGATCCATTGCTACAGCCGACACCGAGTGGCATCGTGTCATGATCAAGGATACGTCGACTGCCACCATTGATGATTTGAAAGCCCATCTTCAAAACCTGTTGCACCTGTTTCCTGCCTACGATTGGGTGGCCCAAGCTGGGGAAAAGAATTTCACAGATCAAATGAACTGGCTGACGGAAAACTGTGACTTCACATAGGGAGTCTTGATGCTTCCATTCTATTTGACTGGCACCAAAACAGGATAAATCTACATGCGCCCGGCGAACCGTTGCTGCTGGGACCGAAGGATCATTTCTGTGAGGCTGCTAAAACGAGATGTTTCCCTAAGCTTAAGTTCCACGTTAGTGCGTCTATCTTCTCCCTCTCTGACCATTCGTAAATCGAGCCAAAGGTAGTACATATAAACCGCTGCCTCGTACCGAGTCCTGCCGCCGAAGCCAAAATCCTCCGGCTTTAGATCGCCGAAATCGAAACCCTGCTCCTCATAGGCCTTCTCACCGATTCCCAAGAAGAGAAGCTTGTCGCCTTCAAGATCGCCGCCGCCGTTCTTGTCCGTCAGGTCCTGGACTAACATCTACTCCTTCTGGAATTTCTCCACGAAATTCGGAAAACTGGTGTCGCTTTCACCGGGCTTCGCGGCGCAGATCCAGATCGCCAAGTCGCTCATCTTCTGATCGGCAGGAAGGCTGACCGTCAGGTCCAACTCGGGCTCGTTGTCTCCCCATAGAGGAACGCTGTGAGAGACTCTGTGGGTTTCCTTTTCGAGATGCGCGTAAAGATCGTATCGGGCCAGCTTCCCCATTCCGCTTGTAACCAGAATGACGAGATCTTTTCCCAGTTAGCATCGAGCCATTTTTTGATCTCTAGGATGACGTCTGGGATCGATTGGCATGCATTGTTTAATTTTAAGTATTTGGCCGAAAGAACCGAACAATGGTAATAGCTGTGGTACCGTGGGGGTGTAGTGTTAGCGAACCATCTAGAATCAATATCCTTCTCTCTACTATGTAGTGACAATTAGCTTTCATACGAGTTGGCCGTGGTTCACCCGCCGTAAGCTCGAGTCGGTTTAACTGTTATAGGGGTATCAGAGGCCGCAAGACCTTATACAAGGCCAATAATAGATATATTCAGGTTCTAAGGGGAAAGAGGAACCAGCTTGTGGTCTAAGTAGTGGCATGGAGCTTTTATATTTGAGGGGCAAGAGGAGGGCAGAGGGGCCGAAGGGGAGGTAACACCGCATGCCAAGAGATCCGCGTGACGATGACGCTCATTGGCCATGGAGGTTAAAAGTCTCGAGTCCCGTTGTTGACAAGGCAGCAAAGATACCTCACACTGTACATTTGTCCATCCCTCCCACCATCGTGTCTCCTTCACCAGCTCAACATGGTACGTCTCACTGGTCCGTGTCATTGACGGCTGCTAATCTTGTCGCAGTCTCTGTCCGACTCCAAAAAGCGCCTGGCACTGTCGATAATAGACTTCTTGTCCACCTCTCTCAAAGATGGCACTCTCACTGCAGATGATGCCGACAACATTGAAATCTCGAGTAATTGTATCGCCGAAGCCTTCAAAGTCGACCCCTCGGACAAAGCTGCCATGACCGAAGCTGTCGGCTCTCAATCTTTGCTCAATATTTTCTCGGTCTATGAAAAGCTCCAGGGGAAGGCATCCACGACCGAAACCCAAGCCCCTCCTCCACAGCCAGCGGCCCCCAAGGCCATAAACCCGGAGGCGGAGAAGCTCAAGAGTGCAGGCAACGCAGCCATGCAACAGAAAGACTACAAGACCGCTATTGAGAAATACACCCAGGCCATCTCCTACGCTCCTACAAATCCCATCTACCTTTCCAACCGCGCGGCGGCGTATTCGGCAAGTGGTGATCACGCTTCAGCTGTCAAGGATGCCGAACTTGCCGTCGCCGCAGACCCCAAATATACAAAGGCTTGGTCAAGATTAGGTCTTGCGAGATTCGCCATGGGCGATGCCAAAGGAAGCGTGGAGGCTTACCAACAAGGCATCGACTTTGAAGGAAATGGAGGCAGTGAAGCCATGAGGAAAGGTCTGGAGACTGCCAAGAAGGAATTGGCTCGGATGGAGGCAGAGGAACTGAAGATACCCGAAGATGAAGTGGATGATGCCGCGGGCGAGACGCGCGGCGGTGGTATGGCGGATCTTGCCAGTCTGGCAGGAATGTTCGGCGGTGGTCGTGGCGGAGGCGGCATGCCCGACCTGTCCAGCTTCATGAACAATCCCATGTTTGCGTCCATTGCACAAAACATCATGCGCAACCCGGAAGCCCTTAGCGGACTGATGAGCAATCCAACCCTCCAGAACATGGTGAACAACCGCCGAGAAGGCGGAGGTGGTATGCCTGACATGAGTCAAATACAACAAATGATGCAGGACCCTGCCCTCGCGAATCTGTGAGTGTGATCGAAGAGTCTGGGGAACTTTAGCTGACATGTACAGTGCACAACAGTTCATGGGCGGAGGAGCCGGCGGCGCTGGTGCTGGGAGAGGTGGGCAAAGGTGAGGTGGAGGAGGCGATTTGTTTCTGTCTCATAGGTAATACGGAGAAATGATACAACAAATACGACAATAGCAAGCCGATGCAATTTGCCCGTTCAAGAAATCCTTCGCCTTTGTGCTTCGAGCAATGATTCGCTGCCACCACGCCTTTTCTGCCCCTCAGTTGAGAGATTCTTCACGCTTGTCTGCAGCAGCCCTCTTTCGGCGGTTAACGGAACCAGTCCGGCCCAAATGTGGTAGGGTATATCACAATGTGAAAATGTTGTGCTTCGGCCGAATCGCTGTGCCACACGAGATATCTTGCATGAAGCTAACGTCCCAGACCAATACCAGATCTGATGTGCTGGCATGGATGGGCTGCAATGCAACAACCCATCCACCCCCCTTCGGCAGAAGTACTTGGGAGATGTATCTACGTGGTGATAAGTGTCGTGGATGTTCTACGAATCCTCTTCTTTCCCTCTCCAACGTCTCGGATTTGATATCCGCCCTCTCGTTGGAAACGGACCGGACCAATCGTGGGCGCCTTTCTTTCAGAGCCTCTTGATGGCTTCGATCGCTGGAAAAGTATTTGCGCTGACAGGTGCAAGCTCTGGTCTCGGATTGGCGACATGCTGCAGACTTGCCAGACTAAAAGCCAGAGCCGTCTCCATCGGCGACGTCAACCCTGGCTTCTTTGACATGGCAAGGAAGAAACTACAAGACATCAACCCCGAGATGCAGGTATCCATGACCAAAGTCGACGTTACTTCGAGCTTGGACGTCAATGCTTGGATCAAGGACACGGTCAACACATTTGACGGTCTCGATGGAGCGGTGAATTGCGCAGGGGTCATCAACATGTCTGCAAGCCAACAAACGCCCATGTTCCTGAACGAAACGGACGAAACGTGGAGCCGCGTGGTGAATGTAAACCTCAGCGGGATCTTATACAGCATGAGAGCGCAAGTGAAGGCGATGATGGAGTTGCCCAAATCCTCGCGAAGCATCGTCAACATTGCGAGTGCTGCAAGTCTATTTCACGACCCGACCATTTTGTCGTACTGTGTGACGAAGCACGCCGTGGCATGTTTAACGACCACCGTGTCGAAGGAATTGGGACCCCTAGGGATTAGACTGAACGCCGTTTCTCCAAGTGAGCCTATGCCGCTACAACCATTTGTCCAACACTACCCGCTTGCTGACAAGTTTCTAAGGCGCAACGAAGACTGGAATGGCGTTATCGTGGTACAAGGATGAAGAAGAGGCTGAGGCGGATATGGCGCGGCGAGGGGTGGTATTGCTTGACCCGGAAAGAGTGGCAGAGACGGTAACATGGCTCTTGAGCGAAGATTCGACGGGAATCAACGGGGTTAATATTCCTGTTGGGGCGAGTGCCTCGTAGCTGGGAGTCGATGGCGGAGCAAGAGAGGTACCGAGTATATGTACGTAGACAACTTTTAGTGAAGAGGGGAGAGAAACTACTCGGGTATCTACTCGGCATTACCCTCGCAAACTTCTCCCCGCCAGCCGCAGCCGCCGCCGTCGCCGCACCCACCCGACCTCGCCTGCACTGCATTGCGTCCCACCACTATCCACCACCATGTGCGAGGACCAACTGCACCAGGACCACTTCGACCTCTTCTCTTCCACGGTCATCCATGTCCCTTCGTCTAACTTCTCACCCGCCGCGATCACCCAACTTGCTCGGGCCACTAGGCTGACATCACGCTGCAGCTCTTCCACGGACTGAGACTTGTCTCTGTCTGCGAGCTACCTCAAAACTCTCTGCACGCTTCCTGCAAGGCATTTCCGCATCCTCACATCCTTGTTGCCCGCCAGTGCTCGCACCTGCGCCCTTCATTGGGTTGTGCCAAAACCAAGAAATCCTGCGCCCATTCGAGCCCCTTGGAGCCCCTCACCTGCTTCTCGAGCAATCATCATGTTGATAAGACATACTTTTCCCTCCCACACCCTCCCTCTTCGAGCAGTCCTCTTCCCGGAATTTTCTACTGCGACCGCGGATCCAATGGCAGGGTCGACCCCTTCTGCCAGGGCGACCAAGCTGGCAAAGTGAGCTGCGAGGAGCTCCACGCCGCCATCGAGCTTCGAGCTTGGACCTCAGGAGAAAGTTTGTTGCACCTGAAGCTCCCTGGACTACGTAACGCGCAAGCCATGGCACCAGCTGAGAGATCTCGCAGCTATGAAAAAGGTGGGCATGGTTTGATGTTTCCAATCTTTCAGATTGTCGTTTCTCTTTCCCATCCCTACCCACGACCGCCTCTCTTCGATCCGTGCCACCTTTCTTCTATCCGATTCGCTCGCTATCTACTAATAGTAACGGTGATGCTGTGGCCTCTTCTCACGTTTATCAGCCTTCTCCTGGGGCAAGGCTTGGCCTAGTGAGCACCTCGCTGCCATCCCCCCTGCGGATTATGGAGCGGCTGACACATATCTAGTGACTCTGGATATTGGACACCGACACCAACAACCACATCATATTGGTCGTACTGGACGCCCTCAACAACCTATGTCACACGCTACACGCAGGAAAACGTCATCGTCACAGTCACTTCGGTGTTGCCCTGTCCTGTTACCTCGACCATTGTTTACTGGGAATGCTGTGATCAATGCGACAACAACTGTTACAATCCTCCGACATCAAATCCACCGAATGGATGGGTTGGAACAACGACGGTGACTTCTTACACGACCACTACTCCGGCGGCTCAGGCCATACAGACGGTCACTAGTAATGGACTGGTTATTGTCATGGTGGATTCAAGTGCGCCATCCCAGACGGCGACGCCCAGTGTGGTGTACGAGGTGAGCAGTGAAGCAGGCCCGCTGCAAGAAGGCGTGCTGTCGAGTTTTTGGCCCATGGGCATATTGTTGGCCGCCATTGCGACGATCATGATAATGTTATAATAATTCTACGGCGGCACCACTCACGAAGTTCTCGGTAGTGTTGCATGGGAGGGACCCGCTGTAACGTCTCCTGTATATAGCTTGGGCGGCTTTTATGACTTTGACCAACGATTTGACGAGACATAGCGAAGACTATTAATGAATTATTATTCTTGATTTGTCTTTCGGCTACTGAGTCCTACTCACAAGTACTAAGTACCGAGTAAAGCTTTCAGCTTCGTGCTTGATGCGATAAGCTTAACGTCACCTGCTTCCCGATTGGTGGCATGGCGTCACTAATTCCCATTATTGTTATCCAACTATCTTGCTATCTATCTATCCACCTACGGTACATTATCTGCCTATCTGTTGAGATAGCTCCAGCATCAGTACTGCGTACGCCTCTGTATCTCTACAAGCGGGCGCACGCTACCTGATGACTTGCATTCGACAGCTCGTGAGGCCGTCATTATATGTAGATCCTTTACCCGAAACTACATCGACATCGACATCGACAAACTATGTCCACCGTGGAATTGAATCCTTGATTGGCTTTCCCCAAAGCCTTCTCACAGGGTTCCCCCCCCTTTTGACCCATTTTTGTCTTCCCCTCTCGCGGCGCGCCCCGCCGTCCTTATACCAATATCTCCGCGCAAAGGACAGACACATGCATAGGGAGAAACAATAAAGCGCATGAACCATGACGACCATGCCCTCTCTCTCCTCGCCCACCAGCCGCACTGGCGCCGCCGACAACACCAATACCAACAGCAACCCAGCACCACCGCGTCCAACACCCTTAAAATCAAAATCCTCGTCCTCCTCCTCGCCATCGTCTTCCCGCCGACGGACGGGCGGCGGCAAGGGCTCGGGCTTCTCGCGTCAATTCCGGCTCAACCGGCAGCGGACCGAGACGGAGGCGCTGCTGGCGACGCGGCACGACGAGGAGGACTTTGCCGACAGCGACGGCCTGTACCCGCCGCACTGCACGTGGACGAGCCTCGAGCAGGACCGCCTGGGCGGCCGCCCGCCGCGCGAGGCAGACCCCTTTGGCAACGCGCATTGTAATGTCTATGAGAATATTCATCGGTGAGTTTGGTTCGGTTCGATGGTCATCCTACATCACTCTTTTTCATATCATCTGTCTACGGTTACTGTACTGTATCTATCCGCCTGCCTGCCTGCCTGCCGTCCTACCTACAAAATGGTATATGTGACTTGGAGGGCAAGGCGGATGGCCACATTGAGGGTATTGTTCGAGATCACGTTATGTGTGAGATTGCTGTGGAGGAATGTCTCGAGAGGAAGGAGAAATTAATGGAGAGAGAGAGAGAACAAGGCCTTTTATCGTTTTTTTGATGCTTTTCGGGATCCAGCCTCTGACGTGTCGTGCGAGCATAGCATCCGGAGGGATATCATTACGAGTATCGGTAAGTCCCCCCCCCCCCTGGCGTTGCCTCTGCATGAATATGACACTACTCCATCAACAACCATGTGCTCACGTCCGTGCCAGACGATCCCTACTCTCTCGACCAGCTCAAAGCGCCGCGCATGAACATCTCGGTCGTGCGTCCCTTGGTCGATTCACTCTACGAGACGAACGACTTATCAATCGGTCTGGCACCTTGCAGCCCCGTTGGGTCGCCACCGGACTGTTAATGCTGACTCTCCCCTGCAGTGTACTGCCTCCTCGTCAACCGAATGCAATTTATTCGTGAACAATCCTATGCAACACACCATCAGACGGTAAACCTCACGCGCGCGCTTCTATGTGAGCTCGTCGCCGAAAAGATCCTCCGTCGATACAACGAACACAATCCCGGACCCAGGGGGCTCCTCAAACTGGCAAACATCCTCGTTGCCGGCTTCGAACCGTTCCAAGGCGCGCCTGAAGAGGTGACCAAGCAGAGTCAGCACGCGATGCATTACTGGGCCGCGCAGCGGAGGTCCAAGTCGGGCAAGGTGGAGAGGAAATTGACCGCCCTGGAGGTCGCCATTGTCAGCGCAAGCAAATCCTTCTTGGCGAGCAGCGCGTGCCAGAAGGTCGTCGACGCCATCTATCGTGGCAAGGTGGTGTATACGCCGAGCAGTTTTATCGACATTATCCCAGACCACTGGAAGAAGAGACCCATTTCCCTGTATGATCCACGACGCGCTCCATTGCTGAATCAGTACAGATTGATTGTGCCGCGGACGAGGAACTTGATCGAGGTGTGCCAGTTTGCCATCTTGCTGGGGCTGTACATTGTCGTTATGGCCGGGAGGGAAAACCGGATGAATACGAATTACCAGATTCTCGAGATGGTGTTTGATGTTTATGGCGCTGGTTGGGTACGTTCTTTTCCCTGTGCGAGAAAGGGTCGAAGCTGACTAGGAAATGCCGATAGGTACTCGATCAATTCGCCTCTATACTCGAACACGGTTGGGGCGTGTATACACAGAATCTGTGGTCGTTCCTCGATGTCATGTTCTCGACAATTTTCATGATATACCTGGTCTTACGAATTTACGCCTTCTCGATTGTCGATGAGGAGAAGTCCGTTACTCTCGCCCGGACTGCCCTGGACATCCTCAGCTGCGGTGCCCCGGTTCTCGTTCCTCGATTGGCATTCAACGTCATGTCTGAGAATATGCTGTTTCTCTCCTTGAGGGCGATGATGTCTGATTTCTTGACATTGACCGCTCTGGCCGTGTGGTGTTTTGCCGGGTTCCTCCTGAGTCTCAAGTGGTTGCATGCTGGGGCTCATCAGGCGGTGACAATCGGAGAATGGATGATTTGGATCTGGTTCGGTCTGGACGGGACCGGGATCGACCAGTCACCAGACTTCCATTGGCTTCTTGGGCCTGTCTTGATGGTTTTGTTCGCTTTCTTGGGGAACACGTTGTTCCTGACGGTCCTGGTCTCAATGTTGACAAACACATTCAGCGGCATTGTCAGCAACGCTGTTCAAGAAATCCAGTTTCGACGAGCTGTCCTCACTTTTGAAGGGGTCAAGTCAGACGCAATCTTCGCGTACATGCCACCCTTTAACATCCTGGCACTGGTCCTCATGCTCCCTCTGAAGTGGATACTCTCAGACAGAATGTTCCACAAGATCAACGTCGCAGCGGTCAGGACCATCAACCTACCAACCTTATTGATTGTTGCATGGTATGAGAGGAGAACACTATGGATGTCTGACAAGCGGAAAATTTCAAGCAGCAAGAAAATCGACTGGAAGAACCCCGATGGACCTAGAGCCACACCTGCACAATACTGGGCTCTCTCCAGGTTTAGTGTACATGGAGATGTCCACGCAGTGTTCGACATTGATCCGCCACAGTCAGTACTGGACAAGATTGCCGAAGAAGATAATTTGAACCACACCGACGATATGGGGATCCTATCCAACACCAGATTGCAGGGTCAATTCACGCAACTGTCGGAGGAAAGGAGAGCGAGCCAGACAATTGATTCGAACCGAAGGCCGTCGGTTAGTCCGCGGACAAAGAAAAAAGAAAGAAGGGATTCAAAGGCAGAGGGAAACGCAAGAAGAGAGTCCCATGTCGACCAGAAGCTGAAAAATCAGTTTCGTGATTCGAGTGACGAGGGAGTGGACGAGGGGCAACATCCGCCCGGGTATCGAAAGCCCAACAGGCGTCAAAGAATTGATTCACTGGTTGACTTGGGCGGTGATCAAGACGGCCGACTTTTGGAGGCGACGGCAAGACTGCACAAGATCGAAGACACCTTGGAAAAAATGGAAACCATGCTTTCTCAGCTACTTGGGGGCGATGCCAGCAGCGAGAATAGCGAGGGGCGGGAAGAGCTGGCCCAGGAAATAAGGGACGACTCGATCAAGTGAAGGAAGACTCCGTAGGGGGTGGTGACAAGCGTTCTAGCCGGCGAAGAGATACCGAATTATATTAATAAATCAGCAATTGATGGGTGTGAATCTGGACAAAAACTAATTGTTTCTCGGCATAACACAAGTGAAGCTGTGATGTTTGGGGTCGATCAGCCGACTGGCGCTTGGCGGTGGTTGCCCGGTCGACTGCATTTGTGCCCTGCGCGCCCACTTTCTGCAAGTTGCAAGTGCATCCAACACTCACTTCATAGCAGCTTGCAGTAATTCCTGAAATCGCCTCACCGAAGAAATACAGACTCGGTCGCGACAATGGCTACGACTATCCCCCCATCGACATTCTCTACTGGCACATCTTCATTCCGCGCGTCGCAATCGCAAATGGCCACGCCCGTGTCGTACTCGGACAGCCCCCTCACGCAGCTGCCCGCAGTTGACTTCAATTTTGACGATCTACGAAAGCGCATGGCCGATTTCACGATCAAGTTCGACGCATTCATCGAACGAGGGAGGAAGAGGGTGCTAGAAGAGAGGAATGAATTTCGAGCGCGTCTGGGGGAATTGAACGGTAAGCTGGGGCAAGCATTCCGCAGAAGTCATTGCCGTTGCCGAAAGTGAGAGATACTGATGGACCGTGAAGAGGAGCAGCGGTCGGCAGGCACACAAATCGTAACTCTGCAATCCACTCTGTCAACACACAGCCAGGTCCTCGCCCGTGAACAGGCAGAGAAGAACGAGATGCACGCGCAGATCTCCAAACTGGAATCCCACCAAGCGGCTCAATCTGCCCAGCGAGACCGTCTCAAATCCGCCATCGCGCAAACACAGCGACAGATTGATGCGAAGCTGCAGGCTCAGAGGGAATACGCAGCGAAGATGGAGGGGCAGAGCCGACTGAACGGACCTGAGCTGAGTTTCTGGGAGACGTATTTGGGTTGTCGAATCGAAGGGAGTGGGGATGAGAACAAGGTCAGGATTGTTTTTGTGTTCCCGCCTGTGAAAGGTAGTGGCAGTGGCAGTGAGGAAAGGGAGGCCCTCTTCGAACTGCTGGTACCCGACACCGGGCATGGGAAATACGACGTGGTCTACATGAAGCCTAGGTTAGAGGCCGCCAAAGTCGCAAAGGTCGTGGACCGGTTGAATGCGACCAGGGAGATCGGGACTCTTTTGAAGGGGATGAGAGGGTTGTTTGTGGAAACGCTGAAATGACTCCCATGCTGACTTTGGTTTACGGTGGCCTGTATATGAAATGATGCTTGGCGAATGAATTCCTCATTGGTACATTGACACCCTTTGTGTTGGCCGCTTGTAAGCTTGGTAGGATGATGTTTTGCTTCGGTGGAATTGTGAGCGAATGGGCGGGCCCGATACCAGCACCTGCGTTTTGCGCAATGCATTACGCCAAGCAACAATTGACACCTTTCGAGATCCAGCATCTCAATGTCCGGGGCTGCTCCAGACCCAGAATAGACCATGTCCTCCACAAACATGGCTTCGATGCCTCAAGGAGGTCCGTAAATGTCCTGATGCAGTCAAAGTGCACCCATGCTGACTGTGGTAGACCAGAAATCCAAGAAAAAGAAAAGGTCCAAGAAGGGCAACGCGCAAGCCGCATCGACAGACGCTCCCTCGACGCCGGTGGCCGACTCCAATGAGGCCCACGACGGGCCCGACGACGAAGACGAAGAAGAAAATGACGAGCAAGAAGCAGAGCACCGTGCTGCCTCTCCCACCCCAGAAGTGCTGACGGACGAAGGTGCTAGTACGGTAGCTGTTGCAAATGGGATCAAAGATCGGTCGGTCGACGAGAGCAACGATGCGGCTGCGCGCTTTGATGCTCTTGTAAAGGACCGCGATGCTCTGCGTCTTGAAGTGACCGAGCTGCGGAAGTCCTTGGAAGAGCTGCAGGCCAAGCATGCCACCGAAATCGAGGCGGTCCAGACAGAGCTGGCAGACACGCAGGCCGAGAAGGAAAACGCAGAAGAACAATATCAGTCCCTTCTGGGGAAAGTAAACACCATACGGTCGCAGTTGGGCGAGAGATTAAAGGCCGATGCAGTACGTGGTTCTTTGTCAGGCGAGCAGGAAACCGGCCAGCCAGGCTAACGGAGTCACCACTGCAGGAAGATCTCGCACAAGCGCGCACGCGAATTGAAGAACTTGAAGAACAAAGATCCGAACTTCAAGAACGCTACACCGCCCGCGCCGCCGAAGTTGAAGAACTCACTGCTCGAAACGCCGACCTCTCGCAAAAACAAGCCGAACAATCCAAAGAATTATCCACCCTCCGCAACCGCCTGACACTTTCCCAGCAAAACTGGCTCAAGGAGAAAGAAGAACTCGTTGAATCCGAAGCCTACATGCGTGACGAATTCGAGAATGCTAAACAGGCCATGCACGACTGGGAGGTTCTCGCCATGGAAGAACGGACTATGCGGAAGGACCTGGCAGACCGCAACGCCGATTTGGAGGAACAATTGAGTTCGCTAAAAGAAGCGTACGAGAAAGCTGCGAGTGAGAGGGACACCCACTCCGGAGCGGTCGACGGCCTGCAGAACGCCCTCCAGGAGATCCAAACGGTGCGAAAACAGGAGCTGAAAGAACTGGTCGAAACTTCCCAGAAGGAACAGGAAGCACTGAGGAAACAGTTGTCTGATCTCCAATCGATCCATGACTCGACCGTCGCGCAACTGGAAGAGACCAAGAAAGAACTCGAGCGAGCCCTTCCCTTCGAAAAGGAAGTCAAGGAGAAGAACCTCCTGATCGGCAAACTGAGGCACGAAGCGGTGATTCTCAACGATCATCTTACCAAAGCGCTGAGGTTTCTCAAGAAGGGCAAGCCCGAGGATAATGTGGACAGGTGAGTCTTTTTTTTTGGCTATTCCTCGTTTCTTCGCATTATCACCGATGCAACTTCCCTACCCTTTCACCTCCGGGTTATGGATTCATGGTTACTCCATTGCTCGTTACTCTGCATTTGGGACCCCCGGCTTCGTGATCATGCGGTGTAAGAACTATAAATTTAGGTCATTGCGCCCAAAGCGCTGATCATTTGCCACCTGACGAGGCTGAGGTCCTTTTCCCCCTTCAACCTAAGACTCTGCTCCCTTTTCACCCCTTCTTTTAAAAATTGCAACCAATCAATGGTGTTCTCTTTTGCTGACAAGCCATACTTTGAATTTTTGCGGCCCATACAGACAGATAGTGACAAACCACCTCCTGCACTTCCTGGCGCTCGACCGCTCGGATCCCAAGAAATTCCAGATCCTCCAGCTCATCGCCGCCTTGCTGGGCTGGACGGACGAGCAGCGCGAACAGGCCGGCCTGGCCAGGCCCGGCACCACCGCCACTGCACCACCTAGCTCGAGCTTCAATTCTCTGCGCGGGTTAGGCTCCCTGGCAGCGCCGGCGCCTGGGTCGCCGATCATGCACAGGACGCCGAGCACGCCCGCGCTCAACCACCCCGACTACTTCGGCGCAGCCGGGCCCGACAGCGCGACCAGTCCGCACTCGCGGGAGACCCTGGCGGAACTGTGGCAGCATTTCTTGGAACAAGAGGCTGCGACGGGGAGTGCGGCCAAGTCGTCGAGGCAGGGCAGTCAGAGTCAGAGCCGTCCCGGTACGACTACAGGCAAGGGCACGGGTATAGGTCCGAGCACAGGTCAAGGAGTCCCTGCGCTGCCGAGATGAAATGAGATCACTTGAAAGCCAGCCAGCCAGCCAGCCAAACGAGAGAAACAAGGGCAACGCAAAAAAAGGGGCACAGAGACATGAAAGGTTTAAAGCATAATTTTGAAATGAGATTGCATGCAAATGAAACCTGCAAGATCTTTGCGTTCGTTCGTCCCTTGTGCACCTGGTGACAAATGAGTGCTCTGTATGTATAATGTAGCTAACTACCCTGGTAAATAGTACATTTGACGAACGCCGCCGTGATATCGTATACTTGTTGTTATGGTCATAATTCCAAAGTGCAGGGGAAAGGGGGAATGAAAATAGAGACACATCGAGAGCCCCGCCTGGGGGGGAGGAGAGGATACTGAAACATCACCATGTGTGCTGAAAGGTGACCGTGAGCTGCTGTCGTTGATTCCGTCCCGTTGAGCCTTTTCACCTGTGTTCTGATCTTCCCAATCCCGTGCATCCAGATCGCAAGGAGGATAGTCATTTCGTGTCAATCATGAAGACTGCGTCAAAGCCGAGGAGGGAAACTGGTAGCCGAATCTCCTGATAAACTCACACACGTCCTGTTGCATAGTCCTAAATTAGTCCAAAGCACAATGGAGGGCAACAAAAGTCGACGTACCGAATCCCTCCAGTTCATATTCTGAGCATCGATTCGCTTGACCATGCTCACATTCAGCTTAGCCGGGTCCTCTGGCTCCCATCTCATACTCAATACCCTGCGGCCTTCGTCAAACTCGAAGTGTATGTGCCGCAGGTCGACTGCGGAGATGGGAACGGCACAGTCGCGGGCAATCTCCAGCATCCCTTCCGCAATCTGCGCCGCGTGCTCTGTGCTCCACGGCCCCTCGGTCACATTCAACATCCTCATCAAGTTGATCGCCCTTGTCCTGGTCTCTAGTTTCGGCGCTGTCGTCGCCACCAAGAAGGCCGGCGGAATGAATCCTAGACTCGGGGGTTTCTTCCTGCGGGACTCCACTGTGGCAAGTGGATCGTATCTCAACATATCCTCGACTTCAATGACTGTGAAGTTGAATCGACAGCGACGCGCCTCCTGTTCCTGTTCTTCGTCGCTCGTGCTGCTGTATTGTGCTTGTGTCTTGAGTTGATCTAACAGGATATTTGCCGTGACATTGTGCACAACGAGCATGCGTCGGATGTATACGGGCCCCGTAGCCGTGAGGTTCTGGAACAAGTTCATCCATTTGTAGAGGCGGGCGTCGAGCTCTTCCATCTGTTCGATAAGGTCGGGACTTGGCGAGAGCGGTACCTTGGCCTGCCTTTTCAGTGCTAGAATCTTATTGATGCAGTCCCCCAAATAGTCTGCTGCGTCCTCCAGGTTGTTAAATTCAGGGTAGTCGAAGTTCATGATCCTCACGTCGCGTGTTGTCAGGGAAAGAGCGCTCATCTGGCCTGCCAACTCCTCGACTCGGCATTTCGAGGCGAATTTGACGCCATCTCGAATTGTTGGCTCAATGTATTTGGTAATAAAGTCCTTTGCGGGGTCGTTTGGTCGACGTTTGCTTTTCCACTCCCCTAAGATCTTGATTGCAGCTTGCATGTGGTCAATGGCCACTTGGCCACCGCCATTGAAGTTCTCCAGCGCCCAAAAGACGACACAGGCCGCCAGCACAATGTCAATGGACGGCTTGTCCGCCACCAGGGCGCGGATGGCGTTGTTGTAGTGGAACACGAAGCTCTGATTTGCTCTTTGTGAGACTGGGCCGACCGTGGTGAGGTATTGGTGTAGCGAGGCGAGTGCAATGAGGGAGTGTTTAATAGAAGGTTGGTGCCATGTGGCTTGAGGCAGGAGCACCGTCCATAGATACGGCTGTGAGTATACTGAGATCAGGTCAGAGGTCTTTTCGAGGAAGAATTGGAAGGACTGGGATTCTTCCTGCGTGCCGAATCTGGGAACGAGCGAAAGTTGTTGCGGATGATGATAAGATGCGAGGCGGGAATTCGTTTGACTGTCGTCGAGGACTGCTGACTCCTGTCCAGATGGAAGTGCTGTGTCTGCCGTTGGTGGCCCTGTCGAGGATGAAGCTGTTGACGCTGCTGCTGGTTCAAATAGCCTGATCTTGGGAGCAGCATATCCATTACATTTGATGTTTGACTTGATACATCTGAATCTTGTCAGTGAAAGAATTGATGAAATTTGTCGGGACTTCGTCAACCTCTGACACGTCGGCTTTCCCTCGTCGCACTTTATCCTTCTTCGCCTTCCACCGTCTTGTCAGTAATAAGGAAGAATATAAGGGAGACATTGGCGACACACTTGCACGTCAGACACCCATTGAACGTTTTCGGGGCCCATTTTTTCGTTCGCGCTTTATCGCCTGGCATCGTACGAGAAGAGAGTGGAGGAGGTTCTTTGGGGTTGACAATACTTGGATGGCTGTCCATGGCAGTTGCGGATATGTCTTTGAGTATTCGATGATTGGGCTGGTATCCGAAGAGATTCAACTTTATCTTCGGCCAGGTCGAGGTTGAAGTGGGAGAAGCAAGGTCTAGCCCATCAAACTGGGATAGTGAGTATGCAGTTCTTTCCAGGAAGCAAAACAGGACCGATAGGAAAGGCCCGGTGAGGAACAATATAAACGCCGCACAACAGATGTAGTTGGCTAGACGGGAAATAAGATAGTGTCCCGGACATTGGGGTCGGTAAGGGACAAATTAACCTTCAACTCATGCGCTCTGTATAATAAGGGAAAGGCGCAGGGGTGGGATAATTCGGGGAAGAAGGGATAACAGTGGCTTCTGGAGGCCCCAAGGGACAAGATCAACTCTCAGCCTCATGCGTTCCTCCTTTGATTTGTTTTCTATTTCTCTTCGGTGGTATCATGCTTGAGGTGACTTACCATTGCGCGGCTATGTTAGGGTCCTGTGTTCCTGAGAGATTGTCCTGAGCAGATCGTTTGTTGATATGGTACCACTGGAAGACCATGTGGAGCCAGAGGTACTGGAGCTGAATCGGAATGAGTGGAACCTAGCACAAGGGAAGGCCGGCGAGGTCCTGTCACTAATCGTCCCTCGTTAGTTGTAACTTGTAAAGTGCAAGTCAGGGAACTAGAACAGTCCATTTCTTTTCACCCAAGGAAGTCACGACTGTGGCTCAGCAGCAGAGACATAAAGCAGTCTCGTCCACATCTGGGCTGTGCCTTTCCACCTCCACGGGGCGAGAAACAACAGGGACCTAGGGCCTACTGTAGAGAGGGCCGAAAGAGAACCCGACTCTGGGGTCGAGATCAGATAGTGGAAGAGCGCCACGATGGTGGTGGAACATGATTGGGACTGCATCGCAAGGTAGCGCTCCTCGTGGGCAGTTGCTGACAGAGCTGTTTTTCTCCCATCGATCCTTGAATTCTCACCTCTGGGTCTGATAGGGAGGGTCCCGGGAGCATACCTAGGAGGACGTTCCAGTAGCAGACACGGGTCATCGGGTGGAGATATGTATGTAAGTCCACTTTGGTTAGGGCCGTAGGGCTTAATGTTGTCGGCAAACTCAAGAGACCCATGCCTCCCTTCCACCGACCGCTGCTTTAGGAGTCTTTCGGTCGAGTTCGAGGTCCTTGATGAGGTGTATCCTCGCGGAAAATACCATGATGAGTGAATAAAGTGCAAAAGAACCGATGATTCGGACTCTGGCGCAAGACTAGGCAGTATGTTACTTCCTCCGCCAATGGTGTTGCATGCAAAAGGTAGTATTTGTCTCCCGCACACGACGGCGAAGATGTTCTGGAAGTCGATCATTGCGACAGTATGACTCTACAATATCACCGCAACGCGGTTATGAAGCGGAACCCTCTTTTCAGCTGCTCGGCCTAAGGCAAGACAAATCGAGGAGCGATCTGCAGGGCCTACATAATCTGCCACCGCATTTCTTGCCTGCTGCCTAGGCGAGATGCTTTTTCCAGAATACGCTCGGTTGTAAGCGGAGGTAAGCGAAATAGAATGGTGCTGGTACGGTGTGTGTAGAGGTTGAGTCAATTAACAATCTGATGCCTGAGCATGCTTACCACTATTGATGCCAATGGTGCCAATGCAGATTGATGCATAGCTTATGCGTCGCTCAACGCGCAATGCCAACGCTGAGCCAAGGAGCGATGTCGGCAGAAGGTGCGAGACCTGCGCAGGTGCCTGGCCATAAGGCTGAGAGCGGTGGCATAGGCAGCGTGGCCGTCTTCTAGCGGGCATATGAGGCCAGGGAGGCTTCATAGATCTGCCAAAAAGCGGTATGAGCGAATTTAGAATATGGGGTTAGCGGGTACGAGGTGATCGTCGTGGCAGCACAAAAATACAACCATCATGAAGTGTGATGTGCAGACCCCAGGCGGCATTGCCATCCCGCCTGACGTTGATCAGTTGCAGTTCGACAAAGTCAATCGACCCCCCGCGGCAAACTTAGGGTCCAATGGTCGGCGAATGCGATCCGAGGCCAGCTATGTCCCGGAGAAGTCACCAATACATGCCATGTGAGGCTCGACCATTGGATGCAGTCGACATCGGGCGGCTGTAGGGCGCTCAGCCCTATGCCATGCTGGGGATACCGCTAGGACTTTGCGGAGATGTTTTCCTCCGGAAAAAAGCACTCTGCACTAGATTTAGGAAGAATTAAGGGAAACAGTCCAGTCGTAGAGCAGTTAGGGAAGCTGCAGGTGCTCGATGGATGCATAGAGTTCCGGAACTATTGTATGAGGCGAAGTATTCCGTGGTCGCGGCGGTAAAATTGAACGGTTTGATAGGAAATGTTATCGGGGGGGGGCCAGGGGAAAAGGGGCAGAGGGGCGGCAACGGTCGGGCGCACTCGCACTTATGCATGCCATGAAGAGATGAAGCTTAATGGGAACAGAAGTTCTAGAACTCTGACGGGGAGTGGAAAGGCGGCACAGGGAGAAGAGAGGGACATGACCGGACATGGAGACATGAAGGGGGCGGGAGGAAGGAATAGAGGGAGAGGACAAGCGGAGGAGGCCAGAGGAGAAAGGCCAAGGGAGGCCTAAGGCTGATTTGTGCATTGCATCTGACGGGACTGACGGCTGGTGAGGCCTTCTCGACTTGGGTCTTGACTCCTGACCGTCCTTTTGCCTGCTCTACCAGCGTCTTTTCACCTCTCACACAGTCCAGTCTTGCGGTCAAGCCGTCCCATGCAGCTGCCCATGTTGCCCATGTCAATCCACCGCTCTTGCTTTTCCCTACGTCACCCCTCTCCGCCTCTCTCATCTTCTCCACTGAGCCACAGGGCATTGGCCGTCTGCTCGGATCTTGGCGCGTTTGAATCAACATCAAATCAATTTCTGACAAACTCCTCCACTGCAACCTCTCCTGATCATCGAAGCCCATTTTGGACGTGCTACTGTCTAGTTCTAGGCTCCCTATGGCGACGAATTTCCATCCCCATATCCGCGAGACTCATTCAGCCGCGCCCTTGAGAGAGCTCAGAGCTCTTCTCGATTACATACCCCTCCGCGTGAACTTCAAGGTGCTGCTATTATCGCCAACTGCATCTTGTGCGGCCGCTCATTTCGCTTGCTGCTTACTAGCATAACCCTCTCTATTGGCCACAGAGCGCAGCTAGCATTGCTTCCTCTGTCTTCATTTTGTCCTCCAACCGAGGGGCCTATTTTCGAGATTTGTCATGGAGCCCGCACGATGTGCCCTCGAAAAAGTTCAATCTGATTGGCTTCCCAATATGAACAATCAATCATTTACTGAACATTTTCAACTAATACCGGTGAATCCTAGCCACATTCAGCAGGGCCTCGAATACGAGTCTTAGAAAGCTGTCAACGCCACTCTCAGGGTTGCTTTCACAGGGACCCAGACACCTGTGCGATCAACTTGTTTGCATCCACCCTGCGCACCCTGCAAGAATTGATAGCAGCTTATGGCCTCAGCATATATGTCAGACTGCTTCCCAACTTGGCTAAGTTCGGGGATTCATCACTCCGCTTTCCGAATGACTCAGGAGGAAAAGTACATGAGAAGCGTCAGATTCTTTTAGTTGGAAACTCTGAAATATTCTATCTCCTCAGTGGGTGGGGTCTGATCAGTCTGGATGAGTCCGTGTTGAACACGGATGCACATCCATTTCGACTGAGGGATGGCTTGAGAGGTTTCGGGTGATCGATCGTCAACGATAGAACATCATCCCAGCGCTTCGTCTTGGAGGCCCCTATGGGGCCAAAGATCCGTTTAGCAGTTCAAGGTGGTGTTTCCGCAGCCTATGACGACTTTGTTCACTCCTGCGGATGATTCGGCTTTCTCAGCCGACTGACAATACTTCCCGACATTCTACTCCACACAGAGACGGGTCAGCCAATATAAAAGGAAGGAACAAATCTGAAGGCAGTGGGAGAATATGGGGATTTCGCACCGTGCTTCCCCGACAAAAGACCACACAGCATCCATCATTGAAGTCGGACTTCCATATCCATGAGCCCGCACCTCCAGACCAGGTGACCTTGTGTATGCCACTATGTCATCTCACGTTAATTGCTTAGCATCTGTCTTTCCTTGATACTCCGTCGCATTATCCAAGTGAGAAAGGGAAGTGTGATTTACGCGGTTGTCTGTGCTTCGTTGTCAGTGAGTGAATTTTGGCACTGGCAGGCTGCTGATCTAAAATAAAAAAGGAGAAAGGAGGTGTATTACAAATTTTGCTTGATCTCCCTGGTAGTCGTACTTGCTCCACAGGTCGATACTGTATGCAGAAGCAGTGGCTGCTGCCGCGAGACCAGAGTGGAGGATGGAGGAGAGCTTCATTGTCGCGTCTTTTCTTTTCTTGTTTCTCTCGGGTCAACGATCAGTCGACACCAGACACAGAGATATTGGCGCAAATGATTCCGCCAGAGAGATGAGAGCCAGAGAAGCTGAGTTGCCGAGAAGGACAATAGCGAGAACAAGGACGGGAAGAACAGGAAGAAACCATTTATCTACATCACAGGCGCAAAGGGGGCTTGCCGCTTTCCCTCTTTCTCCCGCTCTCAGTCGCTCAGTCCCTGTCCCTGTCTTGTCCTGGCTGTCCTATCTTTCTCGTCCTCCCTCGTCCTCCCCCCGCGCTATATCCTGAACCGTGGAATGGGAACAAACACCGCGTTGGAGCTCGGGCTGTCGCTGCGTGCGACCACGAGAACAACCACAGCGGGGAGAGCAAGCAAGGAAGCGAGCCATACGTGCCGTGGCGTGCTTGCAAGCATGTACCCATCCGAACCCAGATCAGCCCTCGCTCCCTCCCGATCTGCACCGTTCGAGGGTAGAACTGCGAAGCAAGACGAAAATGACATAAATCAAAAATGAAAGAAGACTAACCCCCTCACTCACCCTTGTATCCCATCCCATCGTCGCGTTGCACAAAGGTCAACCACTAAAACATCTCTCCCTCTCTTTCTCTCCCTCTTAACAGGGAATTCCAAATCTAGATCCGACAATCACACCGCTCCGGCACGAAGACCATTCGATGCATCATCCGATGGGTTTCTCTCATAGGATGCTTACCCTATGTATCGACAAAGAGTAACAAGTACATACCTCCTTCACTGTGATTGAAATAACGAAAAACCAGCAGCTAGCCAGCTACCGATGGGTACGTACGTACCGGGGCATATACTATGTATGGCATGTAGTTTCCCATCCATGCGACATGTATAGCCTGGGATCAGCCCGCCATGCAAGTTCCCTTGCTCTTTTCGCTTTCCCTTTTCCCACACCGGGCAAGATTTTTTTGGAAGAAGCGCGAACAGAAGGGAGGGGAACTGTCATGAGCAGCCCCCCTCCCTCTTTTCCCAACACAAACACACACACTCTCTCTCTCTCTCGTAGACACGTAAAATGTAGACATTTGAAGGACATACCAGGGACACCAGGGAGCAGGACAGGAGCCAGGATGGGTGGGTGGTCGAGCGATGAGCATGGTTGGGCCAGTGTATCTACTCCGTATTTTTGTACGACCTAGGTATCTATCTTGACCTCGGGCCCGACTTCGACCTCCGTACCATGCTGGGTTGAGCAAATACGAGTGCGTAGGGAGGGATGCAATAATGTTGCGGCCGAGTGACTTGTAGGAGACTGTTGGATTGCGTTTCTTCTCTTTTTGCTTTTTTTTGCTTTCTTCTCCTTGCCCTTGGTCTCATCTCCTCTCCTCTCCCGTAGTGTAACGTGCAACGTATCGTCCAAGTCAGCGTCAGAAATGCCTCGCCTCAACACCTTTACCGAAGGTACCGAGTCATAGAACATGCCATTCGCTTCGTCTCTTCCAATAATCTCGACCCCGCTGGCACCGTGGTAGCACCAGGGAGCTTGTTCTTGATCACATAATGGAGACTATCTATCTGTACAAGTCCCACACGACGTATCGCATCCTCATTAACTTTCCATTTCTTCTCATCTTCTCGTGTTCTCATCACATTCAGGCACTCAACCAATCTAAAAATTCTGGCGTAAAATAACTCACCACGATCCCTGCTCCGGCTCGTAAAATACCCTCAGTGCTCTCAAAAGCCATGGTCTTCAAATCAAACACACCCGCCTTGGCCCCGGCATGGATCATGGCGTACTCTCCACTCACCTGATACGCCGCGATGGGCATATCCTTTGCGATTTCCTTGGCGTCCGAGATAATATCAAGGAATGACGAGGCGGGTTTCACCATGATAATATCGGCACCCTCTTGGATATCTCGTGTTATGGCGCGACGAGCAAGTCCTCGCCCACCCGGAGGCAGTTGGTAGCATTTCCGGTCGCCAAAGCTCGGGCACGATCCCGCCGCATCTCTAAATGGTCCGTACAAGCAGCCCGAAAATTTGGCCGCGTAACTCATCAGGTTGACTTGATGCGATAGCCCGGACTCAATAAGCTTGAGCTTGATGGCGCGGATGCGCCCGTCGTTCATGTCGGAAGGCGCCACACAGTGAGCACCGGCGTGAGCGTATGCCATTGCCACATCCGAAATGCGTTCGACGCTCATGGCATTGTTCAAGGAGCCGTCGTCTCGGAGGATCCCGCAGTGGCCGTGAGAAGTGTACTCGCAAAGACAAACGTCAGCAACCACAAATAGTTGCGGGAAGTGTCGACGAATGAGTTGAATGCCCTTTATGACGGGGCCTTCAGGATCGTCGGCTGCTGTGCCAAGAGCATCTTTCGCGTCGGGGGCGAGGGGTACACCGAAGAGAATGACAGAGCGCAACCCCTTTTGCACAAGGGGTGCGAGGAAGGGGACGAGTTTGTTCAGACCCAGACGGTTTTGATTGGGGAGGGAGGGAATAGGCGTCACTTCATCGGGGTTGTCGGTAATGAAGAGAGGGTAGATGAGCATTGACTTGGACTTGTGTTAGAGTAGTGATTATATCTCCGAAGAGGATAGTGAATGCGAACCTTTGTTAATTGTCTCTCTGCTTGCCATGCTCTTGAAAGTGGATGGCTATAGCCGGCGTGCAGTTGGCTTGAGATGTCGCCCGCAATGCTCACGCTGGTGGCGGCGGTGGAAGTGTATGAACGAGCCTGCGATGGCCGGGAGATGCTAGACTGAGTGTCGTTGTTGCTGACATTGCTAGCACTTGTCCGCGCAATCGCTTGCGACGGTGAGTCGCGGAAGGCGATGTCTTGGACGAGGGAAGAGAAGGACATGGCGAAGGGCGGGAGACGATGTGGAGGTCGACGATAGCAGGGCAGGAGTGTGGAGGTGAGGGAAAAGACGAGGCACCAGAGGTGTTAAAGATGTTCGTCAAAGCGAAGCCACCACGTCGTCGGTAGAGAGACTGGTTTCCACAAAAGTGGGCAAGTCAGTCGAGTCGATCAAGTCGGTCAAAGTCGGTCAGCTAGAATAAAATAAAAATGGATGAAATGGATGTTAGCTGGCGAACTTGTGGAGAAGGATGACAACCGGGCAATCACCACGGACATGATTCGTCCAGCCTCTTGACAAGCCTCGGAATTGGCCCGCTGCAGCAAAACACGGATTTCTCTATATACGGAGTAGGTAGTCCTAAATTGTACGCAGAAATTGTATTGCACTCCAGGTCTCGCAAGGCTATTCCACTCATCGCCTACATGGAGGACTTTACATCTGTGATACATAGAAGTCTAAAACATGCCGCCGACCTGAACGCCGTCGCGATGCCCTGAAACTCACTGTATCCACTTCTACAACTGAATCTCATCGTTCAACAGCCGAACCTCCTCGCCGGGCTTGAAGGCAGGAAGCCCTATATATGGGCAACCGTCGCATCGGAATGCATCTAATGGGAAATCCACACATTAGGAGAGGACCAGGCCAGGGACAAGGAAGGGATATTCACCTCCAAGACTGCAGTTACCACAGCTTCCAACTTTGCCTTGCACTGTAAAATCGACCTCGGCCAGATCAGCAGCCTGTAACTTCATCGTGTTCAATGCTTTGTCCGCGTTCTCTCGTCGGGCTCGGTCCTCAGCCTCCAACTTCTGTGCGAGCCCGCAGGTGCAGTCTTTGCATGCTCGGCGTCGCTTTGCCTTGGGCTGACATTTGACGGCTTGAAACTGTTAGCCAACTACCATTGAAAATGATGATCCACTCACGGATCTTAATAGGCCTCTTCAAATCCTCGTCGTCCAGCAACGTGTCTTCGTCAATCAATTCATCGTCTGAGCCATCCATTCCGTCGTCAAATCCCACGCCCGCCGGCACAGCATCATCCATGCTCTTCCGCTTGCCGTTCACCGGCATCGACACAGACTCACCGTTCGCTATGTTGTTGTTGTTGTTAAGACCGCCAGCGGCCTGTGCGGCTTTCCTTTTTCCGAAGTTCAAAGGAACAGAATCTTGTGCGGCGTGATTTGGTTTAACGAACCCCACACCTGGCTGAAAAGAGAGGCCAGCGAGGACGGTCTCGTTCTTCTCTGGGCCATCCGCAGTCCCAAAAGTTCCATCCTGACTGCGTAAATATCCGTCACTCTTCAATGCTTTGACCAGTAAGCCCAGCATGTCCCGACTGATCAGATTTTGACTCTCGCGGCGTGATCCATCTGCGTCGGAGAGGATCATGATGACATCATAGGTGGACTGAGGGAGCGAAACTAAGCCGAGGGACAACCTGTCCAACATCTGCAGGTCGGTGTGGGCGCGGTCGTGCATTTCCCACACGCGGGTCAATATTTCTTGATGTGACGAGAGCGACGGAGGCGAAAGGAGGAGGGTGCGGTGCGAGGACTGCGGGGCCTTGGAGGAGGGCATGACAAAATCGTCGGAGGTGTCCATGAGCACAGAGGGCGACATTGTGGCGGCAAGATGGACGACAATCGCAGGACCGAGTTAGTTGGGAGGGCTGTACAGAGAAGACGAGGAAGCGACAAGAGAGAATGATAAAAGGCCGGGATTAGAAATCGAGACTTGTTTCTGCGCTAGAGGGCCGGAGGGGCAAGTATGACGCTAGGCCCGAGGCCCTGCAGCATCCCAATACCACAGAGCATACCTAAGTCCCCGGCTGTCAGTTCCCCTTCCTCCAAATCCATTCCCTACCCACGTGGGAGATTTCTGTGAATGCGCGGTACCTGAATGCCTGAGGCAAATCAAACTGCAAAACCCTCTTTTCATCTGGGAGAAGATATCTTGTACCAGATCTGATGCTGCATGAAGCAGCCTTGCCACGACGCACCAATCCACTTCACGTGACGGCTGGGTCCCGGAAACCTCCGCGCTCACACCACTCAAGCAGGAGACAGCCGTGCGGGTATCAAGTAGGTACTGAGGTACTTGTTATTGACTGTTCAGGGGCAATCCACTTCCTCGGGGGCCTGGACGTCTGACCGAAGCACAGTGTGGAAACGCTGACCGCTATGGAGATCCATTTTGCGACATTTGGTGGCTTTTGTCAGTTGACTTTGTGGCTCAATATTCGCTCATAACTTTGTCACGCCTCGATCCACATCGAACTGACGCCAACCATCGCACCGGCTATCGAGAAAACTACTCAGGAGTGTTGTGCCTATGCCTGCTTTTATGACCTGGCCTGGCAATTCCATTCAGCCTCGTTTATTCTCATGGGAAATGGCAACTGCATGAAAGGCCGTTGATGGGGGGGCTGCCAGTGGGCTGCACACTAAGAGTGGAGGCGAGCAAAGCCCTAAGCCCCGCGCTAAAAGAACTCGTTGGGGAAAGGTTGAGGATGAGGAATCCGGGGAAGGCGCCTTGACAATTGGAGCGAGGGGCAACTAAGGGGAAGAAGGCGCCAGAAAGGGCAGAAGCGCAACCAGGTCATGCGAGCAGCCGGCCTACGGTGGCCTTTCTGCTTGCTTGCCTCCCCAATCACAACAAACACCCCCATCTAGAGCTTTCTAAGGTTCCACCCTGGCCCGGCTTTCTTCTTCCTTGACTTACTGCTTCACCCCTTCTGCTTAGAAGTCAATCGTAACCTCTTTCCACCTTCTTCTCTCTCTTCTCACAGCTTCATCTTGATCTGTCCCCTGCTCGTATTGCTTCCCCTGCCGGCCCCATAAAGTAAGCGAGCGTATTGTGTGGTGAGTCCAATGTGATATTCGCTCCTCAATCTATCGATGATCAACACGCAATGGGTGGTCCGAGCTTCTGTCCTCTTTCAATTGACTCGCAGGGTCGCGTGTCGTTCTTGTCCTTTGCCCAAACCTCATCTCCAACTTCATATAACTGACTCTCATTCTGACACGCAGCGACAATCCATCACAACTGCGATCCCATTATCACTCTAGCCTCCTCAACCGTCTCTATCCCATCCATCCTCATCCTCCTTTCCATCAGTAGGTCATTCCCAGTCTTCCGCACTGTACATGGGGCGCCCTCACTCACCCTTAGACTCAAGTGACTCGGACCAACAAAGGAAATGACCGCAACCACAGTGCCATCGCCGATGGTTCTGCCCTCCCTGAAGAACGTCTCCCTCGCTACTTCGCCAAACATGGCCACATTGATGCCGATCCCAAAGGTGTGAAGAAACAAGGCGGTGGCAAGGGCAACTGGTATGACTTCCCCTCACACAAGACTGCACCTGCGCCTAGAGGCACTGACTTGTTGACAGGGGCCGCGAAGGTGACGAAATTCAGGACTACGACTACAAGTTCACCAATGCTCGTCGTCGATCCAACTCCAGCACCCAGGTCCTAGGTGACTTCAAGACAAAATTCGAAACCCATGATGCGGAGCCTGTCTTTGAAGAGGAGTTGCACGGACCTACCGACGAAGATATCGAGAAGGCCTCTACTCTTTCCAAGGAAGAGAGCATTGACTCCAGCACTATGGGAGGGAGCCTCGATGACGAAGACAAGAAGATGTAATAACACTACGAATAAGATCCTTTTTCGAGATGATGACTACTTCAACTGTCATTCTCGATATATGGCGCTCAAGGAAGGGGCTTTGAATGAATGTATACTGTGACACCATGCAGTAGGCTCTTTCTTCTGCAAACAAACCAATTGAACTGAACGAATGGGCTGGAACCAGAGATGGAGTGAATTGATTCAAGCAGACATGTATTAGCTTATCCGGAATCCAAACCATCACTGGAAATTGTGACAACCTAGGATGCTGACCCCTCCTTGAATTCTTCATCTTTCATTTATCGTCCTGTATGTGCCAGGTCGTCGTTGCCTTTAGCCGCTTCAAGAAGGGTTGCTTTTTGGTCAATGGCAATGGGCTAGGGGCGGACAGCATAACAAAAGCGCTCGTAGAAGACTGAACTCTACCCATAGCAATTCATTTGCAGTCCACAGGTCTCCAGCGGCGAGAGGTACATCATTGGCACAAATCATAACGACAGGGTGGCCTCTCACGTCCTAAAGCAGGCTGCGCCATGGGGCCACCTGAACCAAGTTGCCGGGTTCCGAATGTCCAAGACTTGCTCCCTTCAGTGCCCAATCGGCTCTCGAGTTTCTCTGCTCTTCCTTTCTTTAAAGTAACAAGTACATTGCATCCAACCTTGTGACGCGTCCGTCATCATCCCATCTGAATACATTGGGCTTGGCGCAGCAGAATGATGAATGATTGGGATTTTGTTGCAAGGAGAATCCTGGTGGTCGCTTACTTGGTAATGTTTGGCCGTCCTCGTCATAGGGGTGTTGAGAGCAATGGCGAAGGGTAGAATCCTGGATCCTGTCTCATCATGCCTAGCAACTGAACGTGAGGATATGATACTTTGGGCATTGACGTCGGATTTGTCGATTCATCAAGCTCAGGGACGGAGTGCCTGGCTTTCAAACTTCCTTCGTAATTATAGCAAGATTACCTGTTCTGTCCCCCTGGTGGTCTAGTATTGAGATAGAAGCTCGTATATTGGATGTAATTACAATTTTCGAATGATATTTCGACTGCATTCACCTAGAAAAGAATCCTTTTACAAAGCCGCCCTAGGAAAAGAGGAATAATAAACTGAAAATAATAGAGACTTGAGGGCACGACATTAAAAGCGGCGCGCAAGTCATCTTGCTCAATGTTTTCCCAAAGAGGAGTGAATTCGCTGCCGGTTTTACCACTCATCTTGGCGACTACGAACGCGGAAGCCAGACCCCCCGGGGTTTAGCACGGCAATAACATTTAACAATAATTCCAAGCCGTCATCAACAACACATCGCCTAGCGACTCTGACTCTTTCTCGTTCCTCTCCAACGTGGGCGTCTGAGTTCTCTTATTCAGGATGTTCTCTACAGACACCTCGCGGACCCAGTCGCTGCGTCCCAAAAGAACGCGTCAGGCAGCAGGTCCAGAAGACTCCCTTAAATTACCTCAGGCGAAGCGAAAACGATCCGCCCTGCGACGGGATACCTTTGAACCCTTGACCGAAACAAGCATTGGTGATGTGGCAGGACGAGAAGTGGTCGAGGGCAAGAGCAACAGACATGCAGTCACAGTTGCGCCGACAAGAGAATTGACTTTGCGAGGAGCCAAAAAAGCAGAAAAGCGCGCCGACAGGGCCACCAACACCAACGCTGGCTTGACTCTGTCTAGTAATGACTTTTACACAGTCGCCCAGCTTCCTGCCCTTCCAGACCAGATCAGAAACCGACCAAGCATCCAATACTCATGTGTCATTTCTCCCGAATACGGTTATGCATTAGCATTGACCCATACTGACGCAATAATCTGGCCCTACAACGCGACCGCATCAACACCTCCCTCTCGAGATGTAGTCACCTTCAAACTCCCCTTCCCTCCCGCCTCTGTTGGCGATCCCCTACCACATGCGACATTCACGGCAAAATCTGCGGGCGGAGAGCCCGGAATCGTGGCGGTATCTGCAAAATGGGGTAAAATTGTGTACTGGGAAACACTGTCCAACGCCTCCTCTTTCATACCTGGTCAAGTTTCAAGTGTTCAAGGCTCAATACCGGGAATGATGAGCGGCGAAATCGTTGAAGAATTGGTCAACGCAGAGCCGTCGGGATTTATTCTTTCCCTCAGTCATGGTCGTGTAGCCCACTTGACGATACGCGACCAAATGGGAAGACCTGGAATCGGCGTCCAATTCCTTCGCAAGTACACAAACGCGTCAGGAGGTATCTTTGGGAGTATAAGAAACGTGTTTGGCTCCGATCGAAGGAAAGGGACTCCAATCGTCAAAGCTGGGGGTTCCAAAAAGGGCCAACGCGACGTCGCCATTGCCACAGTGGATGCTGAGCTAGAATTCTGGAATACGAATCTGACTGTCGGCAACTCTCTCGAGACCTCGTACAACTTCGGGGACGAAATTCTGGACGCGTTAAAATCAACGGAACCGGATATGACGCAATTCAAGGTTCTAGATGTGGAGCTCTCGATAGGACCGAGTGCGGCTCTGAGTCGACGAGACAGTCAGGGTGTGCCAATGATGGTACTCGTCTCCACATCAACGGAGCAGCAGACTAGGTATCACATCATCGAGATGGTATTCGGTCAAGGAGTGAAGGTCAAAGTCGTACACCCCGTCAATTGCTATTCTTCGTCAGCTTCACGACCCAGCCACTGGAGACCTCGACTATGTGTACCGAAATCTCAGCCTGTGGCGTTTATTGTCTTCGAGACGGCCATTGTCCTGTTTTCACTGGCCAGGATCCGAGAATCTCCATCATCCCAGCTCCTGATGGAACGGCAGGCACTGCCCGAACCGTTCCAAGATTGCATTCGATTCCAAGAGTCCACTATCTACGAGGTTCTCGGATTTGCGCTTGAAACGACAGAGAAACATTCATCTATTGTGTTTGGTGTGCAGGGTTTCGGCATGGTGAAGTTGACATCCCATCTTCGCGATGATGAGGAGGTCGATGTCGACGAAGCCGAAGAACGAGACCGGATAACCGCGAAGAGCAAAATAGAACAAGCAGTCTTCTTTGGCACCATCAAACAAAATCCACTGGACCTCAAGCACGCCGACCGATCGTTCCCACACGAGGAAATTGAGGCAGCCGCTTTGGATATCAGCTCGGAGATCTTATCGTCATCATCCAAACATCTTCCAAAGTCTGCACCCTCGATTGACATGCAAATGCGACTTCGTGCCAAAGCCCTCGACGATCTGGCCGAACATTTGATAAACCACTATCCTTCCGCGATGTCTCGCTTGACGCGTTTTGAATTACTGCTGAATGCAGAAAAACTCGCCGCCGCTCAAGCAGTCTGGAAGGTTCAGGAAGAGATTCAACGAAAATATCCCCAAGCCGACCGGGAGATGTCATACTTGGATTTTACACTCCGAGCATTGCATGAATCTCGGCAAAAATACCCCGACCCGGAAAGAGGGGAGAAAGATCGAGTAAGACATTGGCTCGTGAACAGTGTTAAGAACGTTGGTCATCTTATGTCTGAGCTAGTCAGTTGCATCCCCGAACTTGAACCGATGGATGTGACAGATCCCAGAGTGGTGGCCGATTACTTCAAAGAAGCTGTTGACCTTTGGATCGCATCATACACTGCCGCCTTCAAATTTCGTGAAGGCAATGCTGCTCTTTACGGACTTGGAGATGAAGTGTTTGAGAATGGAGTACTTTTGTCGGGATTTCCGATCGAGATGCCTCACCCTTGGACGTCAAGTCCGGAACCATTGCGATTTGGCCAGAGTCTAATTTACGACATTTGCAAGTTCTTAAACGAATGGTGGGAGTTCGTTCATGGCAGGAACAAGAAGAAGAAAATGCCGACGGATCTGGACGGAAAGCCGTACGAAGCACCGAGCAAGATGGCCCTCCAGGAATTGGCCCATCGTCTACCTGCAGAGCTCGAATTATTTACACGGCTAGTACGCGAGGAATGCATTCAAACGAAATGCCATCTCAAAACCGTCGAAAAAGATCCTGAGGTGCTGAAGGAAGAGCTTAACAATCTCGATCATGAAGAGCAAGCAAGGCTGGGCCAGGCACTGCAAGCTACTGCATTGTTCAACACGCCTGGAGCGATCCATCTAGCGGAGAAATTGAAATATTACGGAGATCTCGTCACCCTGCATTACGATTACTATAAGCAATTGGTGGCTGAAGCTCAAGCTGACCCCGCCCTGGCTGAAGATAATCAGCGCAAACTCGAGGAGATGCAAGAGAGAGCTGAGTCCTATTACGAGAGATTTGGCAAAGGATGGGCCTTCGCTGCCTTTAGTCAGATGCTGATTGATGGTGAATGTGGGAGTCTTTTGGTCAAGGGGCAAGAGGATGGAGAGAAAGAAAAATTCCTCACCTGGTTCTTCAGGGTAGCCCCAATGGCCCACCAGAATCTAGGCAAGCTCAGCTGGATTCACGATGTGATATCATGCGACAATTACGACCATGCTGCTCAGACACTCCAGGATGTTGCTGGTGAAGAAATTGGCAATGTCTGGAACAAGAAGACGGAATTGGCACTCGGAAAGCTGGCTAGCTTGGCTGCAGATGAAGGTAGTGGCAAGCACAGAGACCTGAAACCATACGATGATGCTCTGGCAATGATCGCCATTCAGGAGCAGGTCTATAGCCACATCATGGGCTCGGTCGGTGCGGCCCTTGATGAGAAAGCTGCGATCGACCTTGCTGGGGAGACCTTTGCTTCTCGAGTAGTGATCAGGAGTGCCGCTTTCAAGAGAGAGTTGAAGCAGATCTTGAAGTCACTGTTGCGTCAGACACCCTTGACTGCGGAGGAGTTGGTCGATCTGCTGACGTTGATGGATCCGGTTGAATGGAGCGGACCTCCAGAAGAGGACCCTGGAGTTGGTGGTCAAGAGTTTAGTCTCGCCTTGAACGTCGTGGAGGAATGTGGCCTCCCGATGCCGAAGCAAGATGATCTTCGAGGGTTAATCTGGAGAAGAGCGATGATTCGCGATGACTGGCTTGTGTTAAACGAGACGGGTGGGAAAGATGATGAACGAGTGGAGGAAGAGATGCAGCAGTCGAGTCTGTTCCGCGCTTTACAGCATGTTTTCTTGCTAGAACAGATCGAGGGGACGCCGGTTCATCTGTTTGCCCCCAGTGACATTCTGCGCCGCGAAACGTTTCCCGTCAGTCTCCAGGATAGGTTGGCCGAAAGTGAAGTGGAAGGCCTTCGAAAGGACATGGAAAAGGAACAAGCAAGACTGAAAAGTTTTGTGGAGAAGGGAAGACTGGAAGATCATTATGGCGGGTTGGTCACTTCGGCGCAGAGAATTGCAAGGAATATCGTTGATGAACAGGGGGAACAACTGGCTGAGCAGGCCGTTTAAGGGAGGAGCCCAACGGTGTCTGAATACGACCTAGGCAGCGCCTAAGACGACGTGTGCTGTGTGCTTGTTGTACCACTACTTTTCGAATGGCGTCAAGCCTGATACGAGGCTGAAATGGGGAGGGCGCAGCTACAACTGCAGTGGAAGAAGCGCAGCTTTGGCGTAGATCCAACTATCAGGAGCCGCGACTTGATCAAATATCACACAGGCTCATCACTTCTTTCCTCTCCCTCATATTATCCATCATCCAGCTGTGTTCTTCTCCTGGCGTGTCTTCCTTGATATTGTCCCCTCCTGTCATCCAAGGCCTGGTCCCGCCCCCTGCCTTGCACAATCAGTATTTAGAATTGAACGTGAGCAGTCCTGATGCATGCGTCCGCGAACGGGGTATGTCTATCTGGTCGAAAGCCCATTCATTGAATTTGGATTGCGTGATTGACATCCAGATCACCGGCGTCGTCGGTTGTGGTGGTATAGTTTGCAGATATGAAATTGATCCAAGCCGCCAATCTCCTCCCGGCCTTCCGGACCATTTCGTTGACGACGGGAATGGCTCCCTGGTAATACTCCCCGCCGAGGTCCTGGCCGTGCACATCGTGAGCCAGGACATGAGAGCAGACATAGCTGTTCGCCTCGCGTGCCCAGGACAGCGCGCAGTCTGCGGCATCGTGCAGGCATTCTCCCTCTAGTCTTGTCTCATCGTCGTCGACGTCGTCGTCACCAGATAGTCTCTGCGCCCACAGCCACGCAGCGACGAATTCGTCGTCGTGGCCCGTTCCGGCGTACTTGTGCGGAATAAGCGTGTCCCACACGCTGTGCAGATTTGTCCGCCGCCCGTCAAAGGCCACCTCGTACTCATTGCCCCCGCGGTCCTCGGCCTCGGTGTGCAGCGGCTGATGCACGTCGCCGAAGAAGTGCAGCATGAACCGCAGGCTCTGGCCGCGCAGGTAGTGCGGCAGGGAGGGATCGGCGACGCGGCCCGTGTGGTTGGCGATCGCGCTGACCACGCACCCTGTGTTGATGACGCAGTCGCGCGTCATATTGATGCCGCACTGCTGCGGCGGTGAGTCCTGCGCGTCAATGTAGTGCCACCCCCGCGAATACGCGAACTGGGGCATGTGGCGCACTTTATCTGGGAAAAGGGCCGCTTCGGAGATGTCCTGGCCGTTGAGCAGGCGGTTCGTGAAGCGTGTGGATTCCGGGGTGAAATATGTGGACGCAAGATACGCGACGGTGCGGTGACCCAGGGAACCCCATGCCGCGGTCGGTGGGAGGAAGGAGAGAATGGTGCTAAGGCAGAGGGCGAAGATGGTGGAGTGCATTGTTCGCGGTCTGTTGGAAGGGCTGAAGAGAAGCAAGAGGCAGGAGAAGAAAGGAAGGAAGGAAAGAAAGGAAAAGGAGTGAGGATGAAAGCGGACTGGTACTTCTATTTGTATATCATACTACATGGGTCGTCGACGCGGTCAAGTGATATCAGAGGTACCAAGTATGTGTTGTTTATGCTGTTGTCATGGGGAAAATGGAAGGCCTCTTGAGGCCTCCAGTCTGGCCACGAGGCCACGAGGCTGAATGCTGCGGGTCGCTGCCTCGCTGGACACGGTCACGCGTCGGTCCGCTTCGGGCGAGCTTGGGGCGAGCCACCTAATTACTCGGTATGAATATTATTATTATTATTACTGGCACCTACAATCGTTCTCGGCCATGCCAGATTTGTCACAGCTTGGCCAAGATGTCGTTGGTATCTCGTCCAGCTGCTCCATATTGTCCATACAAACCACTCATCTTATTTTAGTTTCTAGCAATATAACACCCTCTCCTTACCAGGAGGTCAATGTTGCACAACTGGCACTTCGTCTAGCGGCTGCCCGATAACGAAAATGGGGGTCGAGTTAGTCTGGTACTGTTGCAACTGCAAGAATGGACCGATGACGGTAGCCGTAAACACGCATTGCTCAGCCTGTTACTCTAAGCGATGTAAAGCTTGCAGATCTGAAGGCGTTTCCGCGTCGACAGCAGTACCTCCCTCGTTTAATTCGTGGAGCAATACCATCGCACAGTCCCACAAAACAGACGACTCCTTCGAGCCGGCCTCGAGTACTGGGCACCATGGAAGTAGCCCGAGCAGCCAGTCCGGCAAGACTGCCGGGGAACCAAACAAAGAAAAGTCCTTTCCTCTGTCCTGGACCGAATTCATTCATTTCCCGGAATCAGAGGCGACTTCCAAAGATGCATTAGGTGATACCGTTCAAGAGCCAGTAAAGTCAGCGACCCAACAGTCAGCTCGAGACAGAGCACAAGATTTGTCAGGCACCGGGACTCGAGAGCCGACGGAGGCAATCACTGAAACATTAGCTGCTGTGGCCGTCCATGAGAAGTCGACTACAGAGCATGGCGAAGCCGGCGGCAAGCTTTCTCAACGCACGACACATGAGGGCATTACTGGAGATGTGGATAAATATCCCATCGAAAACTTGGCCTCAAATACAGTGTCAGTCGTCCGTCCAGTTGTTGCGACCTCCTCAGCAGATTCACAAACCGATAGAAGGGAGGAATTCAGATCAGAGGGCTCGATTCGAACTGTAGAGCAGATCTCTGCCCAGCTTGTCGAACAAGCGCCGCAGCATTTAGAGGCATCAAGTCCTAGCAACGCGATGGACATGGGCTACCTTACTGCGTTCATGTCAGAACTATGTTCCACACTCCCTGCGGCCTTCAACAAAGCCAATTTGGAGAGGGTTGCTCTTTCGGGGCTTCTCCAGGCTTTTACTACCAGGCTCGAACTAGAGGGCACGACAGACGTCCACCGGCAAATCGCACGGGACGTACATCGCTGTCAGAGGTGAAGCAATGATATCGCGGTGTCTTTCGGTTACTGACGTACCAGTTTACCAACAGGCAAATCGTGATCGAGCTTGAGAAGCGCTGCGCAGCAGGCGATTACGAATCTTCAGTTACTACGCCAGAAACGGGACTCCAGGAAATGATGTCGCTTTGGACCATATCAGAGCCGGAGAGCGGAGACAATGGCGACAATTGGCAGCAGACTCCGGCCGTCAAGGGTTCGGACCCCGATGAGCCTCTCAGCCCAGATTCTCCCGATGTATCATTCTATCGGCGAATACTCGTGCAGTCTCCGGCGTATTTGTGGTTAGTCTCGCGTATCCATACTGAGGGAAGCCTCCAACCTGCGAAACCAGATATAATGCGCGCAGAGATCAGAGCACAGATCTTGCAAACACTCGAATCGCTGGCGACTAAAACCGATGGCACACAGGCCCAAACATTCACGATCACTTTCGAGGTTGACTGGGATCCAGTGATGTTTATACAAGAGCAGAATTATGAGTATTCAGTGGAGGCAGTCCTTCCACGGGTAATCGTTTTGACTGGAAACGCGAATACCAACAACGTTCAAGCAAGTACGTGTTTACAGTACGTGGAACAGACTTGGCCTTACAATGGTCACGATATCATTCGTATCCTTCAGGATACCTTGGGCAATCAAGTCCAGATTGGCGAATTTGGTGAGTCTCACTCCTCTTTTCAAAACTTCAACTCGAACGCCGCTTCTAGTTCGACAGTTTGACACTTGTTACAGCAGAATCCCAAGAAAAGGAGCTCCCAGATTCCGGTACACGGCTTAGCGCAAAGTACATCGACAACAAGATCAGCTTTACCGTATCTGGGACTGCCTACTCGATCGCTGAGGTCGGTGAACAGCTTGCGTGGCTAGGATCTGCTCTCCGATCCTCTCCAGAGAGCGAACGATTGATGCATTGCACCCCATTTATCAAAAGCGCCTGGACTCCATCACATCATCCGAAAAGCCCAGAGAGATTTACCTCAACATCAACCACCAATTTGACCGGGATTTGCAGGATAGGATTCGTTCTTGAGGATCTGGCTCTAGAAGGGACAGTGAATGGAAGTTGTTGGCATCAGATAATGAGGAATCCGGTTGTCGTGAAGGGTTATCCCACCTTGCCTCGACTGAAGGAAGACTCTGGGCTTGAGATTCCTCTTCACATATTATCGGCCCTCGGAAATGCACGGCGGATAGTGGATTTCTGTGGAATGACTTATCTCAAGGGGTTTTCTACGATGTTTGCTGCCACGCACAGCGAAGCAAACACGACATATTGGCATATGGTCTGCAACCAGGATCGGAGCTATGTCTCTTTCGAAGACCCACGCGTTCCCCGAGACCAGTATCTCACAGATCTCGTCCCTGTTAGTACCTTGCAAGCGGGCCGACATATTCTGGGGTGGTGCAACAATGTGAAGAATCTGACAGGTAAGTCAAATGCTGCCGACATTGTCAATCACATGCTCAGCAGGCCTAGGAACGTCAAAAGCCAACTACGAAATTGAGTGGTCGGGTTCGGTGGCACCTCACCAGAGCTGCGCTTTTGAAAGAGTGTCCATATCAGGGGGCAAGTTTGTGAGTGCGGGCGCCACGTTCGCCATAGGCATGAAAGATAAGGCCATTCATATCGATTTCGGAGATGACTATGTCGGAATGCTAAAAGTAATGGCGGATAGGCATTTCGTCTTCTACGATGTGGAAGCCAAGCGAGCATGGTTGGTTGACGGGGCCAGCGGGGTTTTACACTTCTTGAGAGCATCCCTTCACGATTTACGAAACGATAGACGCCTAAGGAAGCTCTTCCAATTCGACTTCGACAAATTTAAGGATGCGAGCTGTGACTCTAGCGGGGGAGATGCAGCCTTTGATGTTCTCTCAGATGAGGAGAACATGAGGCTGCCGCTATATCCGAAAATGCAGAAGATATGGAAAGAGACGACCACGAAGGAAGATTCACTTGGTGGGCTGCCAGCCGCAGAAAACGTGGAAAAGCGCATGACAACAAGCGTATGTCTTCGTGATCGTGTTGAACAAATCTGTCATGTCCTGGCCCAGATTACAGCTCACCAAGACGACGTTCACACACAATCAGGGGTGGGTTTCCGTTTGAAGTATACTCCTAGACGCCAACTCGAAGGCTTCGACTTTATGGATGTGGCGACTAACCAAGGCACACTATGGCCTAAAGTCACCACCATACAGGCAGTTGGGGAAGGCTGGATAGACTTTACCCGAGCCGTACACGCTCTCGCCTTCTTTGGAGCCGGGTTTGGCGAGCTGTTCCAGCCCACGAATCAAGGACAATACAACTGCCGATCCTGCAAATGGAACGAAGGGCTCCCCAGAAATAAAGACTACCTTGCCGTGCGTGTCGCCGATATTAAGGACATCATGAGGAAGAAAGGGACGAAGACGAGTCGTCCCTGGCGACTGGTTGATGATATTTACTGGCATGCACCGGATGAACCTTTTGCATACTGCGAGGGCTCGGAAAGGTGTGAGCACGACCGTGTCCAGGTCCTTCTGCCCGCAACCTTCCCGAAGTTGTACGGTCTGCAAAGCCCACGAGAACTCGCTGCCGACGGAGCGGTGATTTTTGGCCACTGCTGCAAGTTCCCACTTCGCTGGGCGAGTCGCAAGATACCAGAGAAGGCGGACGCGGATGGTGCACCAATGGAAGATATTACTAACACCCCGTTCTACGACCCTGGTCATACTCGACTAGGCGATAATGGCTCGTCGTCCAACGCAACACCTGATCAACCTACGAGCACGAGCTCCGACACTCCGGGCTCCTCCTCCCGCCTGCACAAGCGCCGACACAGGTCTTCCGGGTCGACTCAGACGTCGTCGAGTTCGGGACTGTACAACCACCAGAATCAACAGTTTATACGATGACAGAAACCAACGCGGTGGTATCGGGCTGTGCACAGATATGTCTGCCAAAGCTGCTTTCATGGCTCGAGAAGTTTGTGGTCCGTCACGGCGGCAAGACAGCTTGTCTTGCAAGGCCAAGAGGGGAAGGCGTTGCAGTCGAATTGCTGTACGAGGGAGGGATAACGAGAGCGGCGGCGCTACATGCCGAAGGCGCAAGATCGAAGCTACATACACGGCCAATGCCCTCAACCTTACCACAATACGTACGAGGTGTGTCAAAGGGTGACCCGAGTCGTGCGCGGAGGTTGGACACGCGATCGATCCTCCTCACGGCTCCTACATATGTACCACTCTGACCTACTTATTCTACTATTATATGAGGTATGTTCCTTATTTCTATTTTGTGTCTTTTTGCCCTCGCTATGTTTGTATCTCTCGATCTCTTTCCCGCCTTCGCATGGAACACATGCACCGGGAGATGTCCTACATAAGCGTATCAAAGCAGGGCTTCTACTGCCGCGCGCATTATCCGACTTGACACCACGGGGGTTGTCGAACAGACAGAGACAGACAGCAGACGCCAGGCAAAGCCGGAGCTGGAACATCGATACTCACATCTGCATTTCGTCTGCAAGAAGACAAAGGCATATTATTATGTTCATTTTCAACAGCTATGATCGCGCGGCCCTTGCTAGCATGCGGCCAAACCAAGCGACGTCGTCCCATACACCCCTAGGTCTATCTGGAGGCGATTCCACTGAATCGTCGAATCGCACACTATGACTAGGCGGGTTAGCATCTTTTGCTAGCGGAGCATTCGAGGCAGCCGGATCGGCTTGGTTGTTCGTCTTTGCAGCCTCAAGGTCGACTTGAGACGCAGAAAAGTCATCCTCTAATCGAAGAAAAACATCCACAAGCCCATCCATCCATCTGCCCAATCTATACCCGCTGATTGATTTCCGTAGCTCTTCCTCGTCATCACTGTCAAACTGGGCGTCAAAATCCAACATGCCATAGGGGTCGCCATCGTCCAATTCATCCGCGAATTCGGCGTCCATCTGTGCCGCGATCTCCGCTTGCGTCTGTTCGTCCGCCCAATCTGGCGTCGTGTCCACATTTATCATTGGCGTGGTAGCTGGGACAGGTGTCATGGCCAAGGACCTCTTACTGCGTCTTTGAAAACTGCCTCGTCGGCTGAGATTGCCGCTGGGCGTCGCTCGTCCAGACCTGATCATCATCGCCGGTCGGTCATCGACCGGCGTAGCCAAAGAGGTGGAGGAATCGCGCTTGAATATCCACGACTGGCCCTTTGATTCTCTTGAGCCTTCGGTCAACGTGAGGCCCGTTTGGATGAACCATGACGAATCGGATTTGTGTAGCGATCGCCCACCCGAGTAGTCTGAGGGATTATGCGTCTGTTGTGGAGAGAGATTTGCCAAGTTTGACAGGCGTGAAATGGATTTATGGCCGAGCCCTTCACTCGTCGACGCCCCGGAGAGGGGAGCGTCGACGCTTGTGCTGCCATCCGTGAGAGGCAAGGGGGCTTGAATGGTCACGAAGGATCGATTATTCTTCTTCTGACTCAGTCGTGTCCGGGAACTCGCCCGCGACTGCGCCCGCGACTGTGCTGCGGAACCGCTCCTTGACAGAATCCCGCCTGGGGACGGTAAGCTCGCGACGTGGGAGATGGACGCGGACGTGTGTAGCTCCGAGGTCGCTGGGTCGAAGTAGGCAGCGTAGTCGGCCGGGTCGATTGGGTATTTCGGCGTCAAGGGCGCCAGGGACAGGTGTTGCAGGTTTGGATGAGAGCGGCGGTGCGGGCCAGGGGCGAAGGACGAGGAGCGGCTGAGAGGCGAAGAAGGGGACTGTGATATTTCGTGGTTAGTATCTCTGACACGCGTGAATAAAGGGCCAAGTGGGATGGTACAAGGAGAAGGAGAAGGGGGAGGTGCCGAGGGTGTCTGGGTCGAGATGCAGAGTGGGAGGAACGTGTTGAGAGACAGACTTCCATGGGAGTATTTCTTCTTTTGTGCGGGCGGGAATGAGGATCTTCAAGGAAGACCGGGGGGAGCCCCTATGGTGCGTGGCCGGCGAGGAAGAAGGAGTGCACGACGGTGGTAGGGTGAATGAAGGAAGAGCTTGTGTTGAAGCGAGGAAATGAGAAGACGAGAAGCAGATGATGTTGGTGTTGGAATGTTTCTCGTGATTTGAAGACCGAGGCATGTGCGTCTCACAGCTGCTTGTCCAATCATAGCCTTCAATTCTCTTATGTAATCGAGACGGGGATTCTGATGATATTCCTCCTCGCGGAAGTGGTTACTCGGCGTCCCTCTTCCTCGTGGACAAGGGCATGATATACTATTATCCCATGTCTCTTTTGCTTGTGGCTGGCGCCAGCTAGTCCATGCATGGTGACACATGAAAGCACCTTACTCGATATCCATTACTGCTCCGCCGGTTTGACCTCGCCTTTATTCACCACAAACGCCTCCAACGTGGCAATCGCCGACCACAGTCTATTTTGCGCCTCCGGGAAAACCAGAGATCGCGGGCCATAGAATACTTCGTCGCTGACTTCCTCCGGATGCCGCGGTAGACAGTGCATGAACTTCCAATCCTCCGCTGCGCCTCCTCTGCGCGCCATTTCTTCCGTCACTTGATAACCATCGAATGCCATCAGGCGCTTTTGCTTCTCGGATTCCTGGCCCATGGAGATCCACGTATCGGTGACTATGATGTTTGCATTCTTGACTGCTTCCTCGGGGATGTTTGTTTCGAAAAGCTGTCCGGGCCCTGCAGCTTCGATTTCTTGCTTTATGTTCGCGGGAATTTTGTAGCCCTTCGGTGTAGCCACTGCCATGTTGATCCCCAGCTTCCTGGCACCGATGCACATGTCGTATAATACATTGTTGGCATCTCCCACCCAGGCGATCTTCAACCCCTTCAATTTCTCCGCCGGCGTGGAAAAGGCTTGTGTCAGGGTCGCAAAGTCGGCAATGATCTGCATGGGGTGATAGGTATCGCACAGTGCATTGATCACGGGCACAGAGCTGTCCTTTGCAAGGTTTGCAATCTCCGAGTGCGCCCCGACTCGTGCCACGATGCCCGCAACCATGCTCGATATCACCACCGAGGTATCATAGAGTGACTCGTTCACACCAAGTTGTATGTCATCCTTGCCCAGGAACATAGGGTGCCCGCCCATCGCTACAACGGCTCCCTCTGTCGAGATGCGCGTGCGCGTGGAGCGCTTGGAGAAGAGCATCGCGATGGTTCTGCTCGAGAGTGCGGTGCGCTGGGACCATGTCGGCTGGAGGGCGGAAGATTTGTAGCTTGTTGCGTTATTCACGAGGGTACTCAGCTCAGTGGGTGTGAGCTCGGATATGGACAGGAGATGACGGGGACCGGGTTTTGTCGAGGTAGAAAGTGAGCGGCCATATTGACGTAGCGGGGACAACAAGGGACGTAGAGCTGCCATGGTGTTGGTAATTCAATGTTGGCACTGTGAAAGGGTAGGAGGCATTGCCAGCAATGCTACCCTCTGAGAGATTCCTTGGAGAGGAGGATTTTGTGAGGCATGCAAAGTAAATTTTTTCTTTTTGGCGAGTCACACTCTGGAGAAGAAAACATTGCAGCAGCTGCAGCAGCTGCCAACCGCTGTTGCTCCGCAGTCTGAAGGTTTTGGTTCGTCCATCTCCCGTGAGGGGAAAAGCGTCGAGCCTTGTCCACAGGCTTTTCTCCCACGCATATTGCTCGGTACTCCTCCGTACATCCCATCCAGACGATATGACACATCCTCTGCTGAGCAAGCCAATTCTGCTCCTGGATGGCGGACTGGGCACAACGCTTGAAGACGAACACGGCATCAGATTCTCGTCTGCAACACCGTTATGGTCGTCTCATCTTCTAGTTGACAACATTGTAACCCTCCAAACGGTCCAGCGAGATTTTGCAGAAGCAGGAGCGGACATTATTCTCACTGCCACCTATCAAGCAAGCTTCCATGGCTTCAAAAACACTAGGGTTGCAAGTGAGGACGGTATTGGCCGAGATGAGGCGACGAGATATATGCTCTCGGCAGTCAGAATTGCTCGGGAAGCCTTCAACGGACGACCAGGCGTGGTGGCTTTGAGCTTAGGTGCATACGGGGCTACCATGGTTCCTAGCACTGAATACAGTGGAGAATACGGTGGAATGACTGAAGACGATCTTCTCAACTTCCACCTCGAAAGGATCTGGTGCTTTGCGGGTAGCGAGGAGTGGAAGGAGGTTGATCTCATCGCAATCGAGACGCTCCCGCGAATCGATGAAGTGAGAGCGGCAAGGAGAATGATGCAGAGAGTACAGGACAAAGAATACTGGATATCCTGTGTCTTCCCAAATGATTCTGAGAAATTGCCTGATGGGACGGGAGTCGAAGAATTGGTCGAGACTATGCTGAAAGGAGAGCGAACTCCGTACGCAATCGGTATCAACTGTACAAAGGTCTACAGAGTCGCTAGCTTGATTAGGAGGTTTGAAGATGTCGCTAAAGTGCATAATCTAGACCTTCCACGGTTGGTCCTCTATCCAGATGGCGCTGGCGGAAGGCAGTACGATACCAAATTGCAGCAGTGGATTGGCAATGACGAGGGTCAATTGCCATGGGATCAGCAAGTATTCAGCATTGTCAAGGAGGTCAAGGAGAGAGGCCGATGGAAAGGAATCCTTGTGGGTGGATGCTGCAAGACAACACCAGGGCATATTAAGAAGCTAGCTGCGAGACTTGGAGAATTGATATAACAAGTACCGAGTAGAAAATGCCGAGTACAATGGGTGGGGGCTCGGAAAACTTTCCATTTGCGTTCTTCCCCGCCAAACCTACTGGATACGGCTTGGGCGTGTTGGGCGTGTTGGGTGTGTTGGGTATTATTTATTCGGTGCTTGCGGGTTCCTTGCAGATAGCGGAGCGCCAATTGTCATGCCGAGTTTTATCTTTATGCTCGTCACCACTTTCCTCGCCTCTCACCACTTCAACAACCATTGTCTTTATTCTCCTCCCATCCCATGATTTGAATCAACTCTACGGGGCAGCTCCGACTGCTCACCATGGCCTCACCACAAACCTCCCCGCCGCCGTCCGAACGAACTCCCCTCCTCTCTGGTCCTGAAGATGACGCTCGATCAATTTACTCTGCCGATGCCAATGGACATGTGGTTCCTCCGTCGTCCGAGCCGTTGGACCCTCCAACCAAAAAGCACCAGCAGAGATGGCCTAGCATTGTAGCCCTGACCATTCTATGCTTGGTGGTAGTGGCCGTGTGCTTTAGTTTGACTCTACCCTCTACCATCAAAGAATATGCAAAAGAAGGCCTCGTCTTCGACCCCACCAAGCTCTCCATCGATTCCTTTACCTCCCTGGGCATCCGTGCCAGGATCCAAGGAGACTTCTATATGGATGCGTCAAGAGTCCGCAACAAGGCAACAAGAGATTTGGGCAGATTTGGGACCTGGATTGCAAAGGAAGTTAAGAGCGGGGAATCGAAGGTCAATGTCTATCTCCCAGAATACGACAATGTTCTGTTAGGCACAGTCACCATCCCTCCTATCCAGGTTAATATTCAGAACCATCGCCACAACCATCTCGATTTCTTTGCTGACTTGGAGCCGGGCGATCTTGATGGGTTTCGGAGACTCGCGAAGGATTTCATGGGCCGCAAATTGGATGAAATCACGGTCGATGCCGTTGTGACGGTCTCCCTGCAGAGCGGATTGATTAGATTGGGCAAACAAACCATTTCACAAACTCTACAATTCCAGGGTGGCGATGTACCGGCCGTTCCAGACTTCGACATTCAACAACTTCGTCTTGCCGAATATGGGATGCCTGGACATCCTGAAGGCGTCAAGGCCATGGCGACGGTTTCTGTGATGAATCAGTATCCTGTCAAATTCGACGTCCCGCCGTTGGCGTTTGAGGTCCTTCTCCCAGACTGCTCCGAGAACTACCTTCTCTTCGGAACGGCCAGGACTGATGTCATCCATATATTGCCCGAGCAAAACATCAGCGCAAGTGTGATTGGCTTGGTGAAGCAATTACCTACATCGCTGACGTCTGTATGTCCTGGCTCGAAATCCTCCCCACTGGACAGCCTGGTTGCAGACTACCTCGCTGGGCGAGATACTACTGTGTACATCCGTGGAGGGCAACAAGACGAGAACACCCCAGATTGGATAGGAAAGCTATTACAGGAGACTGTGCTCCCATTTTCGCTTCCTGGCCATCCTTTTGACAACCTGATCAAGGAATTCTCTTTGGCGGATGTTCACTTTGCGCTGCCGGATCCTATGACGGACTCACGGCCGGAGATATCTGCAATTGTCAAAGTTTTAGTTGGACTCCCTGCTGAAATGAATGTCAACTTAGATGTGGATAGGGTCAGAGCCGACGCTGACGTCTTCTACAAAGGGGAGCTCCTGGGCAACCTTGATCTCTCAAAATGGCAAGCAGCAAATGCGACGCAGGTAGACGATGACTTGTTAATCCAGTCAATTGTCAAGGATGCGCCGCTTGAAATCAAAAACGAGAGTCTGTTCTCCCAAGTTGTGCAAGCGCTGATATTCGGGAAAGGGGCTTCGCTCTCGGTGCAAGCAATGGTTGACGTCAACACACATACAGCTCTGGGAGAATTTGTGGTCCGAAGGATACCGGCAAAAGGCCAAATCTTCATCAAGCCCCTCCGCAGTGGGGATTTTCAGATGCCGGAAATAAAGGGTATGGAAGTCGTTGCTACATCGGAAACCTCATTAACTCTACAGGCAAGGGTTAATGTGACGAATCCTACGGACTACTCGGCGAAGATTCCGTACTGCAATGTCAGTATATGGGTCAACGACACCCGAGTCGGCTATGCATGGGCGTCTTCACAACACGTTGTGCCCGGTTCTAACAACTTGACTGCAAATGCTTCATGGGAAGTGGGTACCATTGGAAGAGAATGGCTTTCGCAATATATCTCGGGGTATAATACGAGCCTGACTATCAAGAGTCATGCTGGCTCAATACCGAATTTTCCTGATCCCGGCGTGGAAATGACGGTACCGGCTCCACATATGCTGTCGCACCCCTTGAGAGAAGCAACGGTACGTCGCTTGACGCTTCCGAAATTTGGCTGATGGAAACAGATGCATATTTTCTCGTCGACCGCGACGTTCATTTTGGTATCGCCGCTCGCCTTTTACGTCACCAGCATTACCGCAGCCGCCTTCTACAACGGGTCAGAAGTCGGAACGATCAGTTGGGACTATCCATTCGCGATCAAGCCGGGGGAGAACCTGACCCCAAGATTGCCCGTCGAATGGGGCAGTAACGCCCTGGGCACCATCCGAGATGCGCTGGGAGGCACTCTGAAATTGGACGCGAAGGCGGATGTTGGCGTGAGAATAGGGAAATGGCAGGAACATGTATGGTACGAAGGGAAAGGATTGGGAGCGAAAATTAGACTATAGCTTTGATACACGGTACGTTTGGGCATGGAAGTAAGGGATATCAGCTGACTGTGATAGACACTCTGAATATTACTTGCCAAGTAGATTGCTTCTGTAATCTTTCCCAGGTGGCGTTAACTCGTTCAAAGGGGAAGAATTTTCTGTGAGTCGGCGCAAGCTCGGAATCTGGCGGATACTCTACCGGTCACGTGGTAGCTCTACATTGAGGTATATAGAAGGCCACATTCCTTCATGCCGATGCTGCTCCTCTCCAGCTCAAGTTCGGGCATTCAAACAGCACCCAAAATGAAATCCATAAATCCCCAACTCCGTAAAAAGGGCCTAGAGATGGTCTTGGAACCCTCCGTCGACCCGGCGTTTGGACCCGTCTACACTTTCCAGTCAGTCAAACCCGGTATGACGAACAACGACGTGGCGTACCGGCTGTATTACGCCGGGGAGGTGTGCAAGTGGAGTGCAACCAGGCGGAAAGCCATCGACAAGGCTGCGAAGAAGATCAAGGCCAGGAAGGAGAAGGAGGAAAGAGAGAGGAGCCGTGCGGCGAGCAAGAGCGCCACTTCGAGTTCCGGCTCGAGTTCCAGGTCGAGTTCGAGCTCGAGTCCGAGTGAGAGTGAAAGTGGGAAGCGGTGAGGAGTGATTGGACACAGCAACAAACTGCTGTGACTATTTTCGGAAAGCAACAAGTTCAGCAGCGGCACGGTTGTCGCCCGGCCTCGTCGTCTCAAGCGGAGTGGTCTAGACGACGAGGGCTCATGGCCGGGAGCCATCAGGGAAGCAAGTTTCATCTCTATGTTCGTTATCGAGATGATGGATCACCGGCGCCGCTGCCCAGCTCTCGGCCTGGATACCTCGGAAAGGAAATGAACACTGCAGCAGCCAGACATCTGAGAGGCCGACCGACTCCCTCAAGCGGTCACGAAATGAGACGACCACGCCAACGACCACAACTTCCGACTTCCGCCGTCCGCCACCGGCCCATCGGCGACGAAGACGGCGATCGCGATATCAGCGAGAAGCTCCTCTAGCTGCCAGGTTCATCTCTTTTCTTACACCCAACCTTCCGATAATTACCTCGGCGCATGAGGGCCGGATATTTTATTTATATCCCGTCCATCTCCATCGTCGACTCCCCATCACCGTCTGTCCAACAGAAGAAATCGGGATCGTTCGACGGCACAACCATCACCGCCGTCTCCATCCGCCGGAGGTTCCAACACCCCATCGTCTGTGCGCACACCTAGCTTGCACAATCTCGCCCCCATCATGGCAGCAGAACTCAACTCCCTCCTTTTATCCCGCGGGTGTGCAGATGCGCATACGCCCCCATGGGAGAAACGTGCAGAATATTGCTCTAAAACGCTCCTTTGAACCGAGCTTATTGGCGCGCCGGCGGGAAGGAAAGGCTTCTACGACGCCAGAAAGGGAGGAGTAGTTGGCTGGCTCAAGGGCAGTCACCGACCACCACTACCACCACTCACTTACTTGAGGGCGCATCAGGAGATGATGGTGATGTTGGCGGGGGAACCAGAACAAGATAAACCGCTCACTTGTGCATATATATCGGCCCAGGTCAGCCACAACAAATCCGCTTGGGATGGGATGGAATGGCGCTTGTTAGGTTAGATTGGATTGGATTGAACTGGCTGTAAGCACACACAATTGTGTATAAATCATGAAAAGTAATAGAAAGATTTACGCACAGTGACATACTAGAGTTTCGCCTTTCGGGCCTCTGTAAGCAATGCCAGCCTTCTAGACCTTTGTGGATGATAACTGCGTCCATACCACCAGGCCAAATACTAGCCTAGATTCATATTGCTCGCCCACGAAAAAAGCCTCATTGTCATGTATGCTGTGATCTTAGAAATAGACAATAGATGAAAGGATGAATAGGTATTAGGGTTGCCTTGGCAGAGTCTTCATCGCCCAAAGGTCCCGGATCTACACGGCGGTGTTGGCAGATGTTAACTAAAAGTGATCATCGTTCCATACCGTGATAGAAATCGAGAGATGAGCAGCACACTGCTTCGCATACTGCTCGAAGTCGACGACTGCGGTAAAATCCCCAGGCCCTCGAAGGTAATTAAATTCGACTGGTGATGAAACCAGTCGTGCACGTCAGCAGGGTCTACCATTGCGTCGAGCGATGGAAGTGCTGATGCATACACCCCGTTAGAATGTAATGTGATACTACTCCAGTGTTCCTGTCGATCAGGAGGTCGCTCCATCTCAACACGCCGCTGGTAAGACGATAAGTGTGAGGCCTGAACCAAAAAAAAAGAGGGTCGAAGATATGCAACGAGACGGCCTGCTTGACGAATTCCCAGCTCTGGTGATAAAACTCAGATGCTCGAGGACACCGGATTGGCTCTCTTCAGAGGTGAAAGAGATAATCGAAATGAGGTCTGGGTGCTAAATCTTCCGCACCTTTAGTCCGTCGCGTGTATCCAATAACGGGAGCAGTGGCAAGCTATCGGCATGGAAGACAATGACTTCGGTCAACTTGGGACACAGGCTCAGAATCTTCCAAAGGGATCCAGTATTCACAGTCGAGTCCATCGACAATTCAATCGAGGTGATCGTTCGATGAAGTCCATCCAATACTGATCCCACTGCAACTCATCCCACCATTCATCATGGTGAGTCTTCGCATGACAGAGTTCATGTGTGATTAGTGTCTTGTTTGCAGAGTGCTGAAAGATCTGGTGGAATCGGCTCCATAGAGCCACTGGTGATGAACAGCAGCGAGAACACGATATCGACCGTTGACTTTGCAGACAATGAAAGGTTGGCCACGTCCCCCTGTGTTGGGATATTGAAGTGAGTAGTGGCAGCAAGTATTCGACAAGAGTCAAAATAGACGGCGGGTCGGCAAGTTTTGGGAATGCGAGGAATGGTGTATATCGGGGGTTATCGCTGAGGGTTGAGTGTTGTTGTGTAATTCTTTGTGTACTGAAGAGACATTCATCACTGATGCTATCGACAGCGCAGCATGCCTCCCTAGTTTATTATTCTTCACTCTTTACTGTTGAATGTCTCTACCGCTCTTCACTGCCACTCGCTCACTCATTCACTCATGTCAGCATGCTCTCCCCGATCCACAACCCGCGTAACTGACCTTCCATTCTGTATGCTCTGTGCTTTGCCACCATCAACAATCACTGCGACACCTTCAAACAAGTCCTCTCCTCTCCGCTCAGCCCAGCGAAGCGAGCGCTCAAAGCAACAAGGTCCGTTGGTCAAAACAGCCACCTGCGTCCCATTCCTGCCTCCGTGCTCGTGCTCACCGTCAAAGGGGCCAAACACAGACACCAAACAAGGCGGGCAACAACCTGCAGAAAACTGCCGTTCTCCCTGAGACACGACAAGCGCTGGCTCACATTCACATCCACACCAACTTTTGCGTCCACCACGTTATCTGAACCCCAACCGCAAAAGCAAAAGCAAACGCAAACGTGACATCATGTCCCGCAGCAGCAGCAACTCCGAGTCTGCCGCGTCTTCAACTTTCCGTTCACACTCAAACCAAGACGACGAACCCGAAGTCAAAGAAGACCAAGAGCACCAGTGCAACATCCCGGTCCGTGCCGTTGCCGCCGTGTGCGCCGGCGAACCCAGTCGAGGGAGAGGGCGACGTGCGTCGCGAGATTCAGACAAAACAGCGCAATGTGCGCGAATCACCACGGAAAATGAACGCGCGAGAACCGAGGCCGAGGCGGCGGGGTGTCACGTCAGGGACTACGCGACGGGATATGGCACCACGACGACCATGCCTTATTCTGGCGGCGGGGAAGGAAGGACTGGTTGAACGATTGAATAAGCATTGTCGACAGGGTACATCGAATCGCATATGTGACCCGAGTCTCGTGCCGGGAGAAACCGAAGTTCTTTCGGTGTCATGTTGCCCTGTTGCCCAGTTGGTCGCAACTCATCATGCACAAGCTTTCCAGGCACCAACTGATCTGATGAGTCAACTCCGGCAGAGCCCAGAGCTTCAAGCGGCGAAACTGGCTTCTGAGCTCCCGTGCAAGATGAGATGCGGCCCCGATTCATCCAAAACAAAACTGTACAAAATCGCCCTCTTCCGCTCGCCGTGCATCAAGCTCATCTCCCCACCAAAAGTCTTCCTGCCCCGCATCCTGTTTGGTCCAGACGGCCTCCATGACATCCAGCACGGTCATGTACATCTGATATCCGAACTTCCCGTACCACCGCCGGCAGTATTCTTCCGCAAGCTCGCGATGCGCGATATTGCGTGTCTCTGATCCCGCAATGAAGATGGGGAAGAGGAGCTGCTTCTGAATCAACGAAGTGGGTCGGCATGCCGCTACGTGGTCGAGGCAAAGTCGGGAAAGGAACGAAATTCGTGCTGCCAGCCTTCTTGGACGATCACTCCTTTGGCTCTTAAATACCCTCAGGATGTAGATCAACAATGCGAACCGGAATCCCTCGCAACAGTGGTATCGATCGCGTTCGGTGTGCATAGCTTCTTCGTCGTCGTCCGAGTCGCACTGAAGACCTCGGCCAGGATATTCGTACTTTGTAATTGACTGCTCGATTTCCGTCACCAGCGCCGACACCGCCTTGCTCCACTTTCGCCCAGAGAGGTTGGCGAGCTGCATCATCGGGACGAACAGTTCCCGTGGGCAGCCATTCAGCTGGTAGAATGTCCAAGGCTGACGTCCTTCGGTTTTGAGGACAGTTTCGAGGTATACGTAGGGGAGGACGCATTCTGTTCGTGCTAAAAGGGATACCATGGCATCCCACCTGGGCTGATCAACCAAGGTTTTCGGAAAGAATGGTGCGCGCCGTGCTCAAGCTTACCAAAGCATCATGGAGACTTGGACATTCGCCTTCCGGCTCGCTGACCATCTTCTCACGCCACCATAGAGCTCGAGAAGATGATATGCATCGGTCAAGTGAGACCTCCATATATTGAGTGATGAGATGGTGGCCTTTCGGCGAAAGCCAAATTAGCATAAAACGAGCATCCCCTGCCACGGTCACGCACCTCCAGTTGCCACAGAGCAAGCGCTGTGTCCAGCAAGCTCAAAGCATTGCTATAAATGTCAGCCTCTGTCAATGCCCCCTGATATAACGTCATTGCCGTGTTTTTGTGGCTCAAAGCCTCCACAGGCGGGCAAGGCTGGGACGGCGATCGCAGCCGAAAGTGGCATGAAATGGCCATAATGGCATGCAGCAAATGTTGAGAGCCCTTGGTGGTTTCGGGTCGATAGCGGTAGGGGTTGACGCTGAAGTCGCTGGTGATTGGGTAGTTGCAGAATTCTTGATCATCTGGAATGGCCCAAGTCAGTAGATAGCTTTCTGGATTAAGTCAGGTCTGGACAATCAGTTCACCTACACATATCGAGAAGGCCGGAGAACTTGTCGTGCAATGTCGGAAAGCAGACTTGAGGGACGTGCGAGAGGCTGATGTGGCTCGCATATTCGGAGTCTGTGAGGTGTCCAGTCTCCGATGAGGAGCTGTAGACGCTCTCCGACGAAACAGGGCTCCATGCTGCTGGTGAACTTTGAGAATGCTGGATTTGTAGACACTGTTCCAGGCTCTCGCTGTCAGGAGTACCCACAGCTTGAACTTCGCTTATTATGTCTGAATCTAACTGGCCAGGTAGCCATGTAACGGCGGGCGGAGACTGCAATTGTAGAGGATACAGCTCGACTCCAAGAAGTTCCCTGGCCACCGAAGGGACTTGGTATGCATCTATTGGCACCTGAGGGGGATTCGAGTTGTCATCCGCCCGTGTGGCCTTGTTGATATCGAATGAGCCCTTGGTTGTCGTCGTTCTTCCCTGGATATGCTGGCGCTTTCGTCTTTTAGCTGGTCGTCCGGCAACGAACATGTATTGCCGCGGCTGACTGGAGGCAGACCCTTCGCCGTGGCCATCTTGAGCATCACGAGGCAGACTATTACCGATGCACGACGACGCTACCGTGTCAACTCTCGCTTGGGAAAGTGTCGCCCGTACTTTAGGGGGCTTATCAGCGGCAGAGTGATTGCGGTGCCACGTCAACTGCATGGAATAACCCTGGCAAAGCCGTCCGGCTTGCTGGCATGTCGTGCATCGTGGCCTCTGTCTATCGCAATGTAAACCGATTGCTTCACAGTTATGACAGTTGGATTTCGCAAAGGCCAGAGAGTTGGTCCGGCGAGTCTTTGCCACGGATGAGCCTTGCTGATAAGGAGATAAGGTGGTTGTCATTGTGGATGTCTGCCTGCAGAATCAATTATTACCATCTTGAAGATGGCATGTGAGAGAATTCGGGTCTAGGAGAGCTCATTGAGATAAATAGATGAAGCTGAAGACGGCTGGACTTGGTAGAAGGAGGAGAAGAAATGGGCAACATCAACTGTTGGCGATTTGAAACTAGAGGCGCGCTAGCTGCGCCTGTCTTAAACACTCAGACGGAAGCGGTCATCCGGACATGTTACGAAGATAAAGATTGTGGATATCAAATTCGACCGAATGGGGAATAGATTGTGTGGGCGCGAGATATCCAAGTCCCACAAATACAGACTGGGACTGTTTCGTTGCCAAAAGAGCTCTATCTTCTCTATCAAAACACCGGCCTCGGCTGGTAATATGCCTTGCTACACCTTCTTGGCCGAGGATATCGAGCGCTGTCTAAGGGCCTCGATGATCTCATTGTCGTCTCCAATTGCTACTCCTTCGATTGTCCGGTGGCCAAGGAGCTCATCATGGCGAGCCGCCTGAAGAAGTTCGAAGTTGATGTTTGGCCCTTTGAAAACATGTCTCTGGTGCACGAACCAAGTGATTAGAAGGAATGAAACCAGACCAACGGTGACCACACTAGCATGCCGTCAGCAGCCTCACTTTACACACTTATACTGCCACTTACCTGATCCAGTTCATGTTCTCGACTGTGACAGGGTATGAAACAGGGATGCAGTAGACAATGTCGATGAAGACCACCCAGACACAAGCAAGCACGTTCAGAGGAAGACCATATCTCCCCAGATCTAATGCTCTAGGCGGGAGAATCTTATCTCGTCCACGCCAGGCCAAGATGCCTTGAGGAATAACATACGACGTCGTCATGAATACGATGCAAGCCCCAACCATGGACGAGAATGCTGCCGAGGAACCCAAGAAGATCAGGCCGTATAGCTGGGTCATGGTCAGCAGGTGAGCGATGGCTTTGCCAGCTAGGGACCCACCGAAACGAGCGTTCCTTGCAAGCATGCTGCATTCAGCGGCATCTGCCATCGGGGGTGGACTTGCTTCCAATACCTTGACAGAGGAAAACAGTCGTCCCTTGATGCCGACCACATTTGTCGACTTGCACTGGTAATGTTTGCACTAGCACAACCGAAGAAGCAGATCGCAAATGCCACCATCAGGATCGAAGTGCCAGCTTTACTGCCTGTTGCTTGATAGTAGACCTCGATAAGAGGAAGGCCGGTGGGAGTCGAGATAACCTTTGCGAAGTCGGTGATCACAAACGACAGCGAGATCGCGTAAGGGAAAGCTGAATCTTGTCAATATCATTGTCCTCGAACATCCGAATCACTCACAAGTGACGAATCCCATTATAACCGGATACATCTGAAATCGTCAGTCGATGTGCTCTTCCGCTCGGATAGGTTGCCTCACAATGACTTTCGGTACGTTAACCGTCGGATTTGGGATCTCTTCGCACCTGTATATGGCCGTCAATATTTGCTGTAGATTTTGAGGCACAGCGACAATGATTCCTCTCAAAGACGCTGAATCTTGCAGATACTCACAAATGCGCGCCTGCATCTACGCCAAGAAAACCATAGAGAGCATTCACAATACATAGAAGGAAGGCAAGGCCGTCATTCGACCATCCAGTGGAGTTGGTGGTGTCGGAAAAGACAAATTTGGCGGATTGATAATTTGGAGCGGCACATGCCAAAATCGTGATCATCGTAACAACCATGGTGACTGCCGAGAAGTAGACTGGTCCCATATTAGTGCATATCCCAGTGATCAGAGAAGGAAGCCGTACGAATAAACTTGTTCCACATGGGAAGCCATTTTGTCGCAAAAACGTTCAGCGCAATGGCCAACCAAGTAACCACCACAAAAACCAACCAGATATGCCACCTTTCTATGACATAGTCTGGATGGTTGAGCACGGCAATCCCAGTGATCATGGCTGCAATGAAGTTTGTCACGCTAGCAAGACCTAGCCACCATCCTAATGTGCTGATTCCCGCAGATCTGGCATTGCTTAGCAAGAGCTTTGCACGGTCACTTTTTGCCTTACATGTAGGAAGCAAATGGGGCCCATTCAGGACTGGAAACCACAAAAGACCAGTAGTACTGAGCGCCGGCCACGGGAAAGGCACTAGACAATTCAGCCATGCCAATTCCTGTGACTGCAGTCATCAACGCGGCGATGGTGAGAGTCCAGATGGAACCGGCCGAAGAGGCCTCGATAAAGCCAGTACCGAAGGCACTGCCAAAGCCGTTCCAGGTTGCAAGGAGAGCATAAGAAAGCGATATCAGGGAGAGTAGAGAGAATCGTCGCGGCATAGCCCGGGTATAACCCTGGGCCTGCAGTTCGAGGTCGTCGATGTCGATCTGTGCATTTTTGCGGTCTCCTGCGGCGGAGGAAGTCGCCATACTGAGGCAGTTTGGAACGGAGTCGTGTCCGAAGAAATTGAAGAAGATGTCGTTGCCCCCGAGGCAGAAGGTCTGCTTCTATGATATGTATCTGCTCGTCCATACGAACGTGAAGCTCGGCGTGATAAGCTGGGGATAGACCTCGATTGCCCCTCTAGGAATGAGAGATTAGTCCTGCACGGTCTAGGCCCTTCCGATAGGTTGACAAGATATACTGTGCAATAGCCTCGGCAGCTAAGTGGTTCGGTTTCGGGGCTGGCTTCCAAGCTAGGGGGTACGTCGCACGATGATAACGCCGGATTAGGCAACTGAGTTTGTGGAGATGGCCGGCTCATACCAGCCTCTGAGATAAGAAATACGAGTAAGCCACAATTGCCTATTTTAGTAGGAAAGGTTATGCCTTGTCAGTAGAGGAATGCGATCTGTTATATACGGGCTTGTGAAGGCATGGAAATGAGCCTGGGAAAGCTGTAAAGAACAGCGGAGAATGGCAACCACAACAGTCACAACCACTGAGACGGAAAGGGTGTTTATCCCAATCAAGGCGGAAAGTCTTCCACCCGTCCTCACCTTTGAGGCCGATGCGGACCCAGCAGATGTCATCAAAGCCCTGAAAATCAGTGGCGGATGCAGGGTCAAAGCAGCCGTTGATAAGGATATCCTTTGGCAGGTGGAAAGAGAGCTGCGTCCACACATCGAAGCGGATGTTGTGTGGGAGGGAGACTTCTTCCCAATTCAAACTCGGAGGGTTGAAGGCATGATTGGCAAGAGTCCAATCTGTGCCGAGCATATCATCAACCATCCGCTCTATCAAGCTGTGTGCAAGGAGTTCCTGACGACCAAGAACTGGTATTGGAGTGGACAGAAGAAAATCTTCGCAACGTCGGACCCGCAACTCAACAATTCGATATGCTTCTCCATCGGACCAGGAGCATGGGATCAACCTCTGCATAGGGATAGTTGGTGTCATCAGACTAATGAGCCAGAAGTCGCCGTATATCCCGACAATTATGACCGAGATGTTGGCATCGGCTGGTTCATTGCGGGCAAACCGGCAACTCGGGAAAACGGTGCGACGAGGTTTATTCCTGGCAGCCATCTCTGGTCCAAGGACCGACCTCCTCAGGAGGAACTTGCTGTGCATGCAGAGTTAGAACCCGGTGTAAGTACCCTTTGTCACGTCGACACCCGAGGCACTAATGGTGTGAATAGGATGCCTTTATGATGTTGAGCTCATGTTATCATGGTGGATCTGCCAACAAGACGACAGACCAGGAACGCTTGCTCTTCAGGTAAGCTCCCATCTATCAAACCCAGAAAAGACGAAGGGTTGACCATTTTAGTTGCTTCATGACCAAGGGCTGGTTGCGCCAGGAGGAAAACCGTGAGTTCCCTTCCTTTCTCTTTTGACAGCTGTGAAGGGCTAACAAGCTGTGATAGAATACCTGGCAATTCCAAGGGAAGTGGTGCTCAAAATGCCTGTTCATATTCAACAGCTCATGGGTTACAAGCTAAGCCAGCCGTTCTGTGGGTGGGTGGAAAGCGATGACCCGCGTGTTGTTCTAGACCCGTCATTGAAGGATGATCCGTCGGGGCATTATGACGAGGATGAAGACAAGCATTGAAGCTTCAGATATCTCGGCAGAGAAGCACGGCAATGTGTGAATGTGTGTATGCCGTGGTAATCCTGCGATCGCCCAAGTTAATTCTCAGTAGCAGCGGTAGGAGATAATCAGATCTCTCAGTTCCATCAGTCTTGTGTCGTCTGTCATGTGTGACGGTACGGGCACAGATGGAGCAGGATGAAATCTGTATTGTTGCAATGGTTGCTATCTATCGAGAATAATAAGCCGAAGAGGAAAGAAAAAGAAGTTCCTCCACTGTCGCTGTCACTGTACCGGGTACCGAGTAGAAGTACCCCGAGATGTGCACAGGCCTGGTGTTGCTAACATCGCAAGCGTGACAGACTAGCATTGCACTAATCCAGTTCCGGCCACCAATATTAATCGTAATGCCAAGATGGTACTGTCACGTGCATGCACTAACCTGTCTCAGAATATCACTGTTGTCCAGTGGTGTCCATCACACAATCAGCAGTTGTCATCGAGTCTGGTCCTAATAGTCATTGTGACGGTCTTTGACAGCAGTAGGAGGTGATCAGATCTCTCAGCTCCATCATTAGTCTTTTGTCCTCTGTCGTGCGTCAAATGCCTCAAGATGGCAGGCTTGTTCCAAGTTTGGGAAAAGGATCAAAAAGATCGACCAGGTTGCCAAGGGGCAAGTGAAAGCGGTTGATTGGCGACCAAGCGAGACGAACTTCCTGTTGCAGAAATCCATCACCACCATCCCAAGTACTCAAGCATGCCCTGGTCTTGGAGGAGCCAGCCAAGCGTCCGACACGCGCTTTACCATAGGTGAACCCTCCATGATGTCCACCCCCCGGACTCCGTTGGTTCGCACTCCCTGCAGGGAAACGTCGCACATCACACTGCGGGGTTGCAGGCCAGTGTAGGATTAAAAGAAGAATGTCCTTGCCACGATCTTAGCTGCTACTGCTACTCCGTTTGTCCACAACGCCCTCTTTACAGACAGGGCCGACATGGCCGACAAGGACGTTTCCGTCGCGACTCCGAGTCTCGTCCTCTCGCCGCAGACAACGGAACAGTCGGTCGACGATGAGCCGACCCTGTGGAAATCCATCAGGAAATGGCCCAAGGTTCTGGGATATTCCTTTGGGTTGACGGCAGCCATCTTGCTCTACGGATTCGACACGTCGATAGTGGGCAACGTGTCGGCCATCCCAGCGTTTCAGTGAGTTTGCCACATCCCTGGTGCTTATACCGTCCCCAGGGCTAATAGTATCGTTCTCAGGGAAGACTATGGCCGCGAATTGAATAACCGCCACATCATCCCATCAATGTGGATGGGGCTTTGGAATGCTGTCAGTCCGATTGGAATTATGATCGGAAGCATTATCGCTGGCTGGCTTCAGGACCGTGTCGGCCGGCGTCCGACACTCGCTCTGGGAAGTCTCTTGTCAGCCGTGGGAGTGGCCCTCATATATTGCTCGCATTTCCTCGGCGCACTGGACTCACGGAGGGGGACCTTTCTTGCAGCCAAGCTCATTATGGGGTTGGCTATCGGATCACTCCTGTGTACCACCCAGACCTACCTCTCTGAGATCCTGCCTCCAAAGCTGAGGGCGTCAGTCATGGCCTTCTTCCCGGTCTTCACGCTCCTCGGTCAACTGATTGGAGCAGTCGTCGTCTATACTTCCTTGAAGTACCCGGGTGATCGGCCTTACACCACCCCGATGGTGGCGCAGTGGGCGTTTTCTGCTGTCCCTTTCGTCATGGCTCTGCTGGTGCCAGAGAGTCCGACTTATCTGCTCCGAAAGAGGAAATATGACAAGGCATTTAAAGCTCAACAACGCCTTGATACTTCGAGGACAGACACCCAGAATAACATTGATGCCCTGTTGTTCTCGTTGCAGAAAGAGGAAGAACGCGCCAGACACGATCGGGCGACGTATAGGGAATGCTTCCAAGGCACAAACAGACGTCGTACGCTGATTGTGATCTTCGCAAACACGCTCCCTCAGCTTTTTGGACTTTCCTTGCTCGCTGATGCCAGCTATTTCATCCAGGTCGTTGGCATGAGTGCAGACAATGCTCTTCTATTCCTTCAACTGGGCGTTGGGCTTGGACTACTCGCCAATATTGTCAGCATGTGGGTTGTGACAAAGGTTGGGCGGCGAGTCCTTGGCATGATGACGTTGATTGGTAGCACGGTCCTCTGGCTGGGCATGGGGATCGCGGGCTGCTTTGATGGCATCGTTGTGATCTGGTATGAATTCTCCTCTTCATTCATGGCGGCGGCTGATCTATCTGCAGGTACTCCGCGGTTACCATGATGGTAGTTATCGTGGTCGTAGGGATTGGAATATGGCCGGTCTCGTACGTTGTCGGCGCCGAAACATCGGCTCTTCGACTTCGTGCAAAGACCCAGGGCATCGGGTGGTTTTCGGGAGCTCTAGCACAGGGAGCCTTCGGTATCAGTCTCCCCTATGCGTACAATGTCGACCAGGGAGACCTCAGGGCCAAGGCGGGATTTCTCATTGCAGGCTTCTCTGCCATCGCTTTGCTGCTGACTTGGCTCTTCGTTCCCGAAATGAAGGAACGCACTCCAGCAGAGATTGATATCATGTTCGAGCATGGTTTACCCGCCAGGAAATTCAAAGACTGGAGATGCACAATTGCCGAAGTTGTTGCGAATGATTCCTTCGGGTCCGAGGCACATCTGGCATAGAAGGAGGACTGAATCGAGGAGTTTCATTGTACTATTTGGGTATGTCAGCACACGCGATCCTCCGCAGCCTTGCTTATTGACACTGACGCGGACGCCTAGTTTGGGTATTAGGCGGTCCAGGGTGGTACCTGTGCGCCCCACCAACAGTCTAGACTAACTACCTAGAAGATGCTGTGCAACCCCTCGATGTCTCGCTTTGCGCATGAGGGTGCTACTCCTGAGACATAGATATCTACTCTTCTGGCACTGGCAGAGCAGGGCCTGGATTTGGAGCCGGTAAACTTTCCACGTCTTAAGAGAACCTCGGCAATCGCAATATCCGGCAATATAAAATCGAATACTAGGTTGGGCGGTCCACGGGTATGTCGTGTTCAGACCCCTCACTCCGCCTCCATCCTCCATCGGCCCATTGCAAACCCGCCCAGCAGGGTTGTGGAGAATGCCACACTGGCCACTGTCAGCTGACCTTGGCAGGTGAATGGATCCTATTAGCAAATCAGAACCTCCAGGAGATATCTAGGACAAAGGGCCGAAGTGCGGCTTCGAGACATGGCCCGCGGGATAAAGGGTGCATAAAGGGTATGACAGATCTCCCCCTTCGATTGCCACGAGAGTATCTCCTTCTTCTCTCGTCTACACGACTCTTTCCTTGACTTATCCATATCCCTTTCTTTACTCCCCAACAAGATGACGGACACAAACCCATCCATGGGCGCTATCGTCCATTGCGACGTCCTCGTCGTTGGGGCGGGCTTCAGTGGCATGTCTATGCTATATCGTCTCCGCAAGGCTGGATTCGCCGCAAAGGTCTTTGAATCTGGAGGCGACTTCGGCGGCGTCTGGTACTGGAACCGTTATCCTGGAGCCCGTGTGGATTCCGAATGGCCCTACTACCAATTGAATATCCCTGAAGCATACCGAGACTGGGAGTTCACCGAAAAGTTCCCAGGTCACAAGGAGATCCGCGCGTACTGCGCGCATGTCGACAAGGTCCTGAACCTGCGTAAGGACGTCCAGTTCAACGCGCATGTGGTCGACGCCCGATGGAGCAAGACCGACGAGACGTGGACCGTCAAGACCGAACAGGGACACATTGCGCAGAGCAAATATTTAATTCTGTGCACTGGACTGCTGCACCGTAGGCATATCCCGGATTTCCCCGGCTTGACGACATACAAAGGAATCCTCCACCACACGGGCTTCTGGCCGGAAGACATGAGTGTGAAAGGAAAGAAGGTAGCAGTCATCGGAGCCGGCGCCACTGCCGTTCAAGTCGTGCAAGAATTGGCCAAGACAGCCGACCAACTCACCGTCTTCATGCGGCGGCCGAGCCTATGCTTGCCTATGGGTCAACGGCCACTCAGCCCTGAAGAACAAAAGAGCTGGAAGACCTATTTTCAGGCGCTCTTCCGCGAAGGCCGTCAGTCAATGGCCGGGTTTCCTGGCACAAGCGAGCCATGCGGCGTGTTTGACGTATCCGACGAAGAGCGTGAGCGGCATTTCGAAGACATCTGGGCTAGAGGGGGCTTCAACTACCTCATGGTGAACTACAACGATGTTGTCCTGAGTAAAGAAGCGAATCAGAAAGTATATAATTTCTGGGCCAAGAAGATGAGGCAGAGGATCAAGGACCCGAAGAAACAAGAGTTGATGGTGCCAGTCGAGGCGCCTTATTATTTCGGCACGAAGAGATGTCCTTTGGAGCAGGACTACTATGAGATGCTTGATCGCCCGAATGTCGACATCATTAACATGAACCAGAACCCGCTTAGGACTTTCAACGCAACCGGCATGTTGATGGAGGACGGCACCCAGCTGGATTTCGACGTGGTGGTTCTCGCGACCGGTTTTGACTCGTTTTCCGGATCGTAAGTTCTAGCTGGCTATGCATGTGAAGATCACCACCTAACCGGTGCTAGGTTAACGCAAATGGGATTGAAAAACAAGGACGGCGTTGATATCAAGGATGTGTGGAAAGACGGTATCCGGACGTACCTTGGGATGACGTTCAACGGCTTCCCCAACGCTTTCATGGTCTACACGCCTCATGGTACGTGGTGATTCCCTTTCTATTCCCGGCGGCTAACCCGCCCGATGCTGACTTGCTCATACAGCGCCAACGGCACTGTCCAACGGACCTACCATTATCGAAGCACAAAGCGACTTCATCCTGGCCGCCATCGAGAAGCTGGAGAAGGAAGGCGCCAAGACGATCGAGCCAAACCGCGACGCCGAGGATGAATGGGACTCCATGATCGACGCCATGAACAAGCACACGCTCTTCCCCCTAACAAACAGCTGGTGGAACGCGTCAAACATCCCCGGCAAGAAGGTTCAGATCCTGACACACCCCGGCGGCATCCAGATGTACGAGACGCAGTGTCGCGACACGCTGGGCGAGTGGAAGGGATTCACGGTTGTGTACAAGGAGGGGGAGAATGGTGTCGTCAAGGAGAATGGCCTGCATGCTAGTACAGAGAAGAGCGTGGAAATTCCTGTCCCAGTCTAATTGTCTCTACGCTTAGGTTCGCCGATTCTGATATCTATTTGAACATGGTTTCTACATGAAGACTACACGGAAAGAGAGAGAGAGAGAGAGAGAGAGAGAGACTCGAGAGCTGCCGGATCACAACTACACTGACGAGAAATATATTATTCCGCCGAGATGCTACGCAAACAATGCATGGCTTTTTACGCACCAAGATAGTACATTCCCATCTTCGAGACTTTGATTCTTTTCATCGTAATATATTTCTACTCCCGCCTTTTTCGTCAACACTGGCGGGGGTTTACCACACCTTTCCCCCATGGACTCAAGGAGGGGTCTGGATCTACCTGTTAACATGGCATCCGTGGAGAAAGACACTGACTACCAAATAACCATCATCCTCACCTCGACGCTCCGCCTGAGCCTCTCGTTCTCCTGCTGGGGGAGAGTAAACGCACTGTGCGCGACGAACTGCGCGACCTCTTCGCTCTCGCTCCTCCCGCCGTCGCCGCGGCCGCGGTGCGCCTCGCTGTCAAACAGCTTCAGGGCATACACCTCGTCGGGCGTCTGTTGGCTGATATAGTACCACTGGTGCGTGTGCATCTTGTTTCCGAGCTGCTGCTGGTCGGGCGCGACGGCGAGGATGTTCTCGCTGCGGAATTCTCGCGCGAAGCCCGGCCGGCCCTTGTAGACGCGCTGGAGCGCGATGTACGGCGGCTTTGCGGTGCTGGGCTGTAGTAGTGTTCGCGGGTCCATGACGCCCAGGGGATCGCGACGGACGGGTTCTAGAGGTCGCCACACGCTCAGCATGGCCCATCGCGGACCGGTGTAGTTCTTCCCGCTCCAGTGCCAGTGGTCGCCGATGCCTTCCTGTCTCATGGCTTCTTCCTCACCGGCGATGATCTCGTCGCGCAGTCTGAAGAACTCGGTCCTCTCCGACTCCGTCGTGCCTTCCATGTTGTTGTTGTCCTCAAAGTACGTCGACACGACGGCCCTCAGTTGTGCTCTGGCTCCCGCGGGGGTATAGTCGCCGTGGACGATGAAGAAAGGCTGCATGCTCTGCTTGACGAACCTGGGATTCTTGGGGTCGAAGCCGTCCCTGTCGGTCTCCTTGACGTCTCTGACGGTGGTGTTGACGGCCGCGGCGCTGCGCACGCCCAGTTGCGCTTTCAAGAGTGACACGAGTTCCGGCCAGTAGGTGGCGCTGATCAGGTCCGTGTTGTGGAAGTCGGGGACGGAGTCGCTCTGCGGTGGCAGAAGGGCCGAAGAGTGCCGCAGGACTTGGAAGCCGTGGGTGGAGAGGTTGAAGGAGGAGAGACCGAGAGCGCGGATGTCAGTGACGGGGCATTGAACCCGCTGCAGCTCCGTCGACGAGCCATTGAAAATACGCAGGATGTCGGATTCCTGAGGGATTGAAGTGCTGCCCCAGTAGTTGAACGAGGCTGTCAGCGTGTCCTTGTCCTTGAGGGCGACAGAGTATGAAGCCGGGGCCTGACTCGTCGTCGTTGTCGTTGTACTAGTAGTGGTCGACATATTGAGCCTTCACACTGGCGGTATCATCCAAAGAGAACGTTCTAGATGAGAACCTAACATTTGCCAGGGCCTTGTCTTGAATGGGATGGTTTTTCCCTTCTTGAATTTGAAGTGACAACACAGACGGTCAGATTCTATATCCTCTCGCCTACGCCGCTTCTTTACACATAAAACCCATACATATACACACGAGCTTCTCTTCAGGCAAACAGGATCAATCCCTCGTCTAGGACGCCTAAGGCGGACAGGAAGGAAGATCGCAGAAGGGAGTGAGAGTAAGAAACAAGTCATGCAAGGATGTGAGTGAGCGAGTGAGTGAGCACGTGTGTGTGAGAGTCGAGTGATCGTGTTCCTGCTTTTCTATCCGTACCGGGTCCCCCTCCTCGAAGAAGTTTCCGTTCTTTGCTTTACACCTGCCTTTACATATGGACCTCAATGGGCTCAATGGGTTGGTAGGTGGGATGTTTGTACTCCGTTTGGAATGGACGAACCTGCGTGTACGAAGGACGCGGCAGCAAGGCAGTGAGACAGGGTAGACGGGACGCCTAAAGACCTCCTCCCTCTCCTCTGCTCCCTCGCAGCGACGATATGGAGAGAGTGGCGGGGGAAGATAGCGAGCCTCGCTGATCGTCTCGGCTTCGTGTGCCGGATGACGTACTCTGCACGAACTGAAGTCACTGACCAGGATTGTCTCGGTAGAGACACGATTTAGGAGTCCTGAAGGCTGATTAGTTACTTCCTGATCTCCCACCAACTCAGGGCGCTTGAGTCTTAATGCTATCTGGTTCGTGGGGGCGCGTGAAATAGGGAGCATTATTATGTGTATGTGTATGTGTATTGAGTCGATATTCCAACATATAACATATTCCAACAATGGGTATCGATGGATGCTCGTGCTGGCGTGGACAAGGTAACGGGCGTGGCGTGCTGCTGTGGTTGCTCTCAAAAACTCCCAACAAAGCCACCAGTCTTCTTGCTCTGACTAGAGTGCCCCGGTCGTCTCCTCTCTGAACTTCTTAGTCCCCAACTTGCTCGTGTCGTAGCCGTGCTCCTCCAAATAGCGCCGGAACCGCTCGTCCTCTTCCTCAATCATGCCCTGCCCCACGTTTGGCAGTCCCACGAAGGCCACGATGGCGCTGAAAATGCACAGGCTACTGCTAACCCAGAAGGGGTATTGCCCTTGCTTGACCGTGTCGTCGCCGGCAGCATCGATCAACAGCGGGAAGACATAGGTGCCGACAAAGGCACCCACTTTCCCCCACGCCGCTGCAACGCCGTAGAACTGTCCTCGGATTGGAGTGGAGGAGAGTTTCGAAGCAAAGAGGCCGATGTTGTCGCCTGGTCCTACCTCGCCCAAAGCCATGAAAATTCCAGTCAGGATGATGAACCCGGCAACTCGAGACGGGTGGTTGAGTTCCGCGTAGGCGCCAGTCATCGCAAACCCGACGATCCCTTGCAACAAGACGCCGCCGATAAGGCACCATTTGGGACCAATCCAATCAGCCAGGAACGCACCCAGAAACGAACCTGGGATCCAGAAACTGCAGGGGTGTGTTAGCCTGTGTACTGAATTTGATCAAAGCCCGATGATGACATTGACTGCTCCGGCTTTAAAGGCAGTCTATCGACGAGGAGACAAACTCACCTGTTGATTGCGGTGGCCATGCCGAAATTCTTCCAGAGGGGTGCATCGGTGGGCAGGATGAAAACGAGCCAGGACGATGCGAAGATGCCGAAGGAGTAAGCGGAGAAGTTCTGCCACTCGATCAGGATAGATCACCACCGCGGACACAAGGATTCAGACCTACATAGACAAACCAGATGATTGAAATAACCGTACATCTCCACCAATAGAACTTGACAATCAGCCACACAGGGAACTTATTCATCTTGTTGCGGTTATATTGCTCGGGTTCTTGCAGCTTGATTCTGAGGCACATCAGTAATGAGGCTTTCCCCACATGCAAATGTGGACAGCTCACCGGAGGTAGAGCAGACTGAGAGGCGGAATCGCGCCTAGAGCCAGACAGATTCTCCATGCTGCACGCAAATGGTTTTCACCAGTCGCAAGCACCACGATCATCGGGACAAATGCGCTGATGACAAAGCCGAGATCAATTTGAAAGTCGGTCGCCAGGATGAACCAGCGATTGCGATGGCCTTTCTTGAGTTCGCCAGTCGATTCGGCTGCGCCAACTGAGCCAGCAGGGCTTTGTATATGTCAGCAGATCTTCGAGGGGAGACGGAGAGAGAATGTCTTACTATTCCCCTCCAATTCCTAAACCGATCAGGAAACGGTAGGCTGAGAGCGCAGCGAACAGGCCTTGGGTGCTGCCACCGGCTCCATATGCGCCGGCACAAAGGATCGAAAAGATAATGAGAACTATCCATATCCATTAGCACCGAGTTTTCGGGGCGCTAGGGTTCAAGACGGGTTCGTACTGATGGTGGAAATGAGCAACGTATTCCGGCGAGACCAATGATCGCTCAGAATGCCGAAGAACAAATGTCCCACCACGGTGCCGGCAAAGGCGATACTGGGGACGGCACTCTTATACGAGGACTTGGTGTACTGGTCGCCGTAGATGAGCTGCAGCATTGTTGAGACCGACCCGATAACACCGTTCAGGTAACCATCAGAGAAGAGTCCAGCTCCACAAGCGACCACCGGCCACGATCGCTCCCATCGCCCTTTGGGCACTTCGGCGAGAGGGACGGCATGGACGGCGATATCCCGTTCCTGATCTGCACCATATTCGCGAGAACCAGGGAGCTTCCTCTCCTGCACTCCCTTTTCGTAGTCCATACCGCGAAGTCTTTGTTAGGTACAATAGAAAAGATTGCAGTTGAACCGTTAAAAGCCCTCAGAGGGTGGGAAATGGAGCTGACGGCGTCTCCATTTAACTGCCGCACGAGCCTGCATTATATTGTCCTTTAGAGGTCGAGATCGACCTTCCGGCGGCATGTCTCGCCAACGCCACAGACCTGCAGCAGAAATTTTCCTGACGAGAGATCGATGTAGCATCGAGTGGCATTCGACTCGAAGAGGAAGGAATACTGCACGGTGGATTGGGGCCATGAGCCAATGGCGTGGAGTGGTCAAGGCACATTGTTCAACTGACGGCAATACCACGAGCGGTGAGTTCGCGTGCGGCAATCCAAGTGCGGTCCGATAGGTCAAGCGCATTAACTGGCCATGATAAGAGGACCCTCACGTGGTAGACGCAGCAACAGAGTCGTTGAAACGCTCCTCAAATGCATGCCACACGTGGCATATACTCATGGCTTAAGCGAACAGCGAACAGAAAAGGCCTTTGCCTGTGCGGCAGGACACGATATCGTAGGTCCACGGAATCTCATTCTAGAATTGGTCAGGCCACGGGTTCGACCTACGGGTTCGACCTACAGCTGGACATTCCGGGACCAGGCTATTGGATGCCGCTTAATCCATCCTTGCGAGAGTCTCTTCAGGACAGTCACCAAGAATCTTCCCTTCTTCTCAGATACTAATCATAGTAGTTCTGGACTTTCATTCCCTTGAAGTTGAACGAAGTCCCTTCACGCTTTTCTATCACTGTCTTGTAGTGCACATCTTTGACTCGTGCTCGGACATACTCGGTTCCAGAAGGAACCGGCTTGTTGGGATCTTTATCCTCGTCCGATAGGAGGCCGAGACGCTCAAGGAGGGGTGACGGGACGGTCTTCATGGGAGTCCTCGCGCCAGGGCGACTGAAATAGAGCAGGCCGAGACGAGGAATCTGTATTTGGTCTTTCGGAGGCGTGACAACCCTGTGCACTGTTGATTTGATGAAACCTGTGCTTTCATTTAGCCGGATAGATTCTCTTGTTTAATGTCGAGTCTTACCGTTTGTGAGGAAAGACAACGTGTCGGCTGCATTGCAAGTGATCCCTCCTTGAACTGGTTTCACCCACTTCCACTGCCCTTCAGGGGTACGGATCTGTAAACCTGCGACATGCTGCGAGAATAGCAAGGTCAGGCTGCCGAAGTCTGTGTGGCCGCCTTTGGTATATGCTTGAGCCTTGTCCCATTCATCCTGCGTTCTCACATTGTAGATCATGTATCGAAGGTGGTCATCAGACTCTCCATCGTAAGCGTGTGCGTCCACGAAGTAATTCCCCGGTAGCTCGAGAATAATGGCAATAAGCACGTACAACTTTCGGAGGACCTTGTCCCACAATTCCCGATGAAATGCTGAGATCTCCGCCCAATTCTCGCGAACGATTTGGTGCTTCGGCACAGTCTCATAGGCTGGAATGGGTTTTTGGATGTTAAGCTGAACAAGATGAGCTTGCTTAGCGTTAGCCGAAGTGAGGAACACACCATCTCAATGTTCTCTTTGACGCCGCTGTCGCCGACCCAGCGCGAGTTCTCCCTATAGCCGAAATACTCCCCTTCCGCAAAGTTGCAAGGGAAAAAGCGCTTCTCTTCGATTGGCTGCTTGAAAAAGGTGTTACCGATACTGAACTGGCGGAGCACCTTGCTGTCATCGATGCCCGTATTGATTACGGTCCAGAAGCCAACCCTGGTGACTGCATCATAAAGCTGCTTGGCTAGCTCGTCCTTACCTCCCACCTCATCAAACCGGGACAGGTCGATTGTGGTAAGCGGAGCCCAATCAAGCTCTTCTTTCGTATACTGTGGCCGATTCCATGGCTTGATCAAACCCTGTTTGGATGGCTGTGGTACCGATTCAGTCTCAGTGGCAGATGGTGCCATTTTTGGGAGTGTCTTGCTTCACAAATCATGCAGCATTTGCCTCAGATGGAGCGGACAGAGGGTGCTTAATAGATGATCATGTCTTTCGAGATGCGGGGTTGCAATGTACTCCTCCTCTTAAGGCCCTCCAGAGAGACATGAGATGATTGCGTGCTTCCTTCGCAGGAGGTCATGCTGCATGACCGGAGGGAAGATTGACCACGATGTGCCCCCCACGGACGTCTGGACTTCTCCAAACACGACGCATCTCCCCCTTGAGATAGAAATTCCTCCTCTTTGGAGCTACGTTACCTTCAAGCCGAGGTTCAACCACTGGAATGACTCGAATTGTTGTAGACAAGATGAAGATTTCTGGCTCGCTTGTAGTAAAGGAGGGGAAATTCTAACCTTCGAGCCGAGCCAAAGAAAATGCAGCATAGTCTGACAAGGAGATATCTGTTTGTTGTTGGGACAGAGGCCCATCCATTTGCCGTGAACGGCTAACCTTTTCTTAACATCAGTTAGTCCCTTGTCTCCCAATTGTACGATTCGCGGCCCGTTGAACATCGTGATGGTGAGAACTTCGGCGACAGTCAGTAAAGTCGCGCACCGCCTAGTAACGTTTTCGGTGAGCCCAGCACACGGAACTGCGGCCTGCAGCGTGCCACAGGGTGGTCTTAAGTAGAATATAGCAATTGCGAACAGCATCTCACCGCTTTAAAAGAATAATAGGCAATCACACTAGCATTGTTTGGGAAGTTTACCGAGTTTGCATCGTTTGCTAACTCTGTTGTTCCACTCGGTACCGAGTAGATGGAGGCACTTCTGCCACCCAATGTTGCACGTTGTAAAGAGGTCAAGATCCAGGGGTTTCAGCTTCCCTCTCATTACCCTACATAGTACGGAGAAGTCCTCATTTTACTTCGTCCATAAAACCGCTCCCGCCTCCAAGCATTTTCTCCCTCAATGGATTGTCGCTGCCATCCTTGCCGACGGTCTTGGTTGTGTCCCCAACTATTTCGTTGAATCTGACCTTCAGATAGAAGGCTTCCTTGCAATCCGCAGCAACTACGCAAACCGGAAGCGCTCCTGCTGGGTCGTTCTTTGCTCTAAGAAGTCCGTTGTCGACAAGCTCCCTTCCATACCCTTTGCCTTGATAATCGGGATGTAAACCTAGGACCTCCAATGACCAGCGTATCTGTCGATGAGGGGTACTGAAAAAGTGACTGCAGAAAGGACGGATACGAGCCACGAAGTTCCAGGTGATGATCGGGTTGGGTTCTTTCGCGGTTGGACGAGCTGCTGCTTTATTGTGCCAGACATATCGGCGGACACTGTAAAAAGCCGGCGCTGCAGGTTTTATCAAGAGACCTGACATTGGAACAGTCAAATGGTATGTTTTTAAGCGGGAAAACTCAACTTACGGGGATCCCGCCATCCCCAAATTCCATGTACGTGCTCCTATTGTTTCCCAACACGTTCCCACTAAGCGAAACCCTTCCGAGTCTCCCTTTCAGTATGGTTCGATGGCCCGCCGTACAGCAATGCACTCCGCTCATCGTCGTTCTTAGTCTTGTACGACACCACAAGAACTTGGCTGAAGTCGCACCAAGCCACCAAGAGGTTCTCTCTAGCAGCCTGAATGAATGCTTCTAGATGCTCTTCCACGTGAGGAAACATGCATCGGAACAAGGGATCTGACCTGAAAACTGTGGCATATATCTCAGCCACGATGGGTATATCGGATCTGGTAGCTGGGCGGATGGGCATGATGAAGACGGTCAACATAAGGGTTGAACCTGATGTGGGCCAGGCAAAAGAAGGTCCCCGAGCTTTAGAGCAACTAAACGATATCCTTATGAAACACCTGGTCTCGACTGTGTCCCATCCAGGGCAAGGGTTGAGGTCCGCATTGGCACTTGAGGCGCAAAAGAAGATGAGAACTGAATCCCCGAAGCGGCGGGTGTCGAATCCAATGCCCACGTCCTGATAGCCTTTTGATTGTGTCCTGAAATGCGAGCCGCGTTCCTTGCCGGGGGAAGGGCGATCCGATGATGGGCCGCTATCAAGAAGACACCACTATATTCCGTCCTCGTATTCCGATATGTAAGCGTTGCAGTGCTACTGACTGGAAGGGCGGAACACAAAATTGGGATCAACTGCGATACACGTCGATGTTTTATTGCCTCGAAAGGGAAATAGCTGGGGTAAGGCGAAAGGCTAGGAATGCACCTGGTCTTTGGTAAGATCACGATTGTGCCCCTTGCGAGCAATCGACGGTTCTGAACTCCTGGCGTTATGTACGAGTACGGCCTCAAGAACAGAATACAACTTGTTATTCACTAGAAGACCCGACGCTATTCAGCCATCATCGCTGCCACTTCCTCATGGTCACGGTGCGTATCTCATCAACCCCATTCCCTTTAAAATCAGTGTTTCCTTATTGTTGCGTCTATTCCAGTCGTCCAAAAGCCCCGGCTTCAATCCTCCAACTTGACATCCTGCTTTGCTGAATTCCCCAGGTTCTTCAATAAGTAACTCCTCTTGAAGTAAGTATTCGGGTGCACAATCGTCTCCAGCTCGGCGGGGCCCCATATACCTTCCTCTTTTACTTTCTTAATTTCTTGCTTGTGGGCCCACTCAAACACACGGTTACACGCGATGTGAAATCTTTTCTTCTCGACATCTTCCCTGACACCTCTCAAAACGTCGCGATCATGAACTCCCGTGGCTTGAAGCATGGCGGTGAGATTGTCCACGCTGAAGTGTCTATAGGGACAACCATGGGCTTCACCCGTGCCGGGCGGATGTTCCGTGAGGATCTTCTGGCATGAGTATGGCGAATAGCCTCGCCCACGACGGTTTGCGTCACCGCCTACATCGCCATATGCGTGGCGGACATTGTAGCGGTACTCCTTATTGAATTGGTCATCGGTAATGAGTTTAAACGCCTGCCTCCAGAAGATGAGGCTATCTTCCAGAGTGAGCCCTATGCCCTTGAGGAAAAGCGTGTACTGCAGTCGACCATAGTGCTTCAGGTGGCTGTTTTTCCGGAGTGTGTTGTGCAGGTGTTTCATACAGAGGGGGAAATGCTGTGAGAGGTTGTCAATGTTGGCCGCGGTGATGGCAGCGCCGGCGAGAGAAGAGTCCGAGTCGGAGTAACCGGCGTCGGGAGTTGCGAAATTTTTGGAAAGGTGGTCGAGAATGGGAGATAGGCGGTCATCTTCGTCGAGTCGCGGCAGATTGCGCGCCGTGAGCTCTAGACCTTTGTCTAGGCGACTTGTGAACTCTGTGAGCACCATACTGGCCTGTTCGCGCATGGGCACATATGCTTTGCCTTTCCGTACAAGGACTGTTCGATGCTCGACGAGGTCTGGCACACGGGTCCAATCCACTTTGAAAAAGTCTTCTCCTTCAAGACGCCGGAGACCAGGTGTAGCGGCTAGAAGTTGCTCGCCCAATGCTCTCTTTTCTTCCTCTTGGGCCTTTTCCCAAGGCATGTTTAAACTATCGACAAAGGCCTTACGTTCATCTCTGTCGTCTGACTGGAAACGAAGTCGAAAGAGCATGGTTTCGACTCTGGCAAAGCGTCTGCGGAGGTCTTCCGTTCTTGAAAAGGCAAGCCTGAGAATGTAGTGGGAGTAATGGTCTTTGCGTCGTTGATTCTTTAAGTTTTGGTCCAGAACCCCCCCCCGGGCTGCTGAGTTGGATGAGAGGGGGAGGTATTTCTTGAGCAAAGGTTCTAGATGAGCAGACGTCTCTTCTTGGGACTTGTTTCTGAACGAGCAAGCTTCGATCTCGGCAAGGACTTGTATCTGGTCAGAGGCAATTCGATCTAGAGATTCCCAACTTACGTACTTCTCAACCTGTCGATAGCCCAAGTCTCGAACTCTTCCAGAGTGATTTCCTGCGTGGGAGGAACATCGTAGAAAGAGAGCCGGTGGGAATAGTCGATCTCTTTGTAGGATGCAGTCGCAAACTGGGTCTTCTTATGGTCGATACGTTTCCGCTTTGGATCGAATCGTGGCTCTGAGCGCATCATTTTGTTACTTTGTGCGTGTTCCAGGTCTGGAAAGGTCGATGTTGAAGGATTGAAGTGTGCAGGGTGTGGAATGATCGCGGGGAGAGACGCGTCGAGGCTGGCTGGATTTCCATTTCACGCGTCGTGAAGCATCGGAACGGAAGATCTTTTATGCGTCTCCATATAGGCTGGACACACTTTTGTCGAGGCATCTTCTTCTAGGCAGATCAAAGATCTTTTCACCTGGTACTCTGTATGATGGGGCCACCACACAAACGTCCCATGTCTCAAGATTTCGCATTCTGAATACTACATTGTAGGTACTGCGTACTTTGTGCCAACTCCACAAGTCGGCTATCCGGCAGCACAATGGGCGAGCGGAAACCTCTTAAATCCTTATCGGCGCAGTGCGACCCGAGCCTCGAAATTCAATGGGCGTTTCCCCACGATCCTTGACTATTGATTCTTCGGCTTACTCAACCAATCTAGGCCACCATCTCGGGTGCTTCTTTTACCTAGTTCGACTTTTCCTCTTCCTTCAAGTTGCACTTCTTTTCCTATTCTTTCCCTTCTCTTGGGAGGCAGGGTTTCCTGGTATCTCCGCTGGTGTCTAATTTGGTTTTTCTTTCATCCTCGTCTTTTGCAATAGCAACTCTTTCATCCCCTCAGGGCAACATGATGGGCACTTGATTCGGGCGTAACTGCCCTGACAGCTGCGCCCAAGTGTCACGCACCCAGTCCCTTCTCCGTACAGATTACAATGACTTTCGCAACCGTTACCAGAAAGCTGAAACGAGCCGCGAGAATCATTCTGGTTGGCGCTCCGGGCGTTGGAAAGGGCACACAATCTGAAAGACTGATGAAGCGATTCCCACAACTATGCTCAATTGCGACTGGAGATCTATTGCGCGACAATGTCAAAAAACATACTGCGCTGGGTATGAACTTGCGTTGAACTTATTCTAATCCACCGCCGCTAACGAGACGGTTATAGGTCAACAAGCCGAAGCCTACATGAAAGCTGGTGGCCTTGTGCCCGACCCCTTGATCCTAAATCTCATCCTCAACGAACTCACCTCGAGGAAGTGGCTTGACGCCTCCGATTCCAATGAGAACATAATTGCAGCTCTTGAGAGGGGAAATGGCTCTGCCTCTGCGGTTGTGCACGCTTCCAATTCACCCGATACCTCGTTCATCCTCGATGGCTTTCCCCGTACAGCAACCCAGGCCAAAGCTCTGTCCCATTTGCTACCCATAAACTTGGTATTACAACTGGTCACACCAGCCGATATCATTCTGTCGCGCATGGCGAATCGGTGGATACACGCGGCGTCCGGGAGAGTGTACAACGTGGGATTCAATGACCCGAAGGTCCCTGGCAAGGACGACGTTACAGGGGAGCCTTTAATGCAAAGAGATGACGACAGCGAGGCCACGTGGAGGAGGCGACTTGCCAAGTTTGAGGAAACCAGCCAGGCTTTGCTCGACTTCTACCGAGACAGGGATCCAGACCTTGTAGTTAAAGTGCAGGGAAATAGTAGCGACGAGATTACGCCTCAGATATTTGCAGAAGTTGAGACGCGATTTGGATGAGACAATAAAGAATAGAATTTTGACTCTCGCGGGGGATGTCTTTTGTAACCTCGACTGTGATTTTCCAGATCCCATGGAGATCAAAATGATCTCTAAGCCCCGGACGCCCAGCCAGAGGTGAAGTATGTGTCAATCTGCGCTCGACGCGAAAACAACCTCAGCATGGAGAGATGCCCGAGACTGGCAATATAAGTAATGCATTTTGTTGTCGGCGGGTGTAGATGAGGAAAAGAAAAAAAAGAAGAATCAAATGGAGGAAATAGAAGAGTTGCGGTGCGAGGCCCGTGACCTATGCTTGGCGTGTTTGTCTCAGTGATGAGGGCGTACTTAATCAACCCGGGTAACATACTCGGTACGCAGGTACTCTTGGTCCTCTTACTCGCAGGCAGCTTCTCCTCTTTACATCAACTACGCACTGATTGTACTTCTACGTGATACAACTAGCCGCCAGCATGTATCTCAAAACAATTCCTCGCTTCTAGGCTGTTAAGACCGTGCCAGTCATCACGAATCCCACTCTAAGGAAGCAATACCGTTTCCCTGGTTTCAGTGGTGTCTGATGCTCCGTCTCGTCTCTTCTATAGTCCATTTCAAGTCATTTGGGCGACAAGAATTCCAGTACTCGGCGCTTCGGCATCCTAGGCTCCTGAGGATAGAACTGGGAGACTTAGGTTGACGGTCAAATACTCTCCTCCACACCAGGGTGATCTTGTCTGAGACCATGGTGACACCAAGTTACTAACACGACCGGGCTTGCCGACAACACGCAGCATACTGCCGCACCCCGGTTGCAGGTTACCGCAGGGTACTACAAGCCCCTTACACAGAATCTGTCGAATTCCACCTGGCGCCATTACCACGGTTCCAATCGGAAGGAGCATAGGCCGACCATAGAGGGATACGATAGACTTGACAGCATCTGACATTTTCGTGATTCGGGGGAGGACAGCAATCGGGAAAGAGGGCATCAAAGCCTTCCGTGTGACGCGCAACAACATATGGTTTTCTTTCTCTTTTTCCTTTTGCTTCGAAAGAAGGAGAGATGGCGGTCCACGTTTTGCCCCTAGCTCTTCCCCAGAAGCCGGCTCATTTCCCCCGCCCAGTGCGAGGTATCGTGGCTCGAAGACAGACACCTCTTGCCCTACCTAATTTTGTCGCAAGCCACAACGACCAGGTAGAGCGCCCTTTTTGCCTCCCTTGTCGCCCGGCGGCGGTGGGCATGGCCCGACTTCTCTGTTGATAGCTTCTTTTCTTCTGCATTGTCACGCCGCAAAGGAAGACTGTGCTGGTGATCAAATGAGCAAATCGCATAGCTGACTGGACTCTGGCCTCTTTCAATGGGAAGCTCCGGCTCCATTTAGGCACATCACGATTCACGATCGTCCCTCTGACGCTCATATTAGCATCCCCTGGCCTCCACTGAGTCCTCCACTTGGCCCATCGGTGCCCGCTTCATCGTCATCACTAAGCCCGAAAGGCTTGGGGGTGGCACAAAGGGCGCCTGATGGAATGCAGCTGGGCGTCGAGCCAGGCTGCGGTAGCCCAGTCGTAGTCCAGTAGAGGAACCAATGAAACCTGCGTCTATGGCCGTGACACATCCAGCTGCGGGCGACTGACACACCAGACTCGCTCCGCCCCCCCAAGGCTGCTGAGGCCATGGAAGTCTTGAGGGCGGCAAAGGCCAGTCACAAGCCGCCAGGGGGCATCCCGCCGACCACAGCGACCAGGGAGGGGCATCTCGGGCCCCAGTTTCGCAAGCCACACCCACCCTTTGCGACGGTTGGCGTCTAACGAGGGCAAAAAAAGAAAGAATCGTGGTTGACAGTCGGTAGCGATGGGTAGATGCGGCAGGCATGAGGCGTGGGAAAAAATCTGCTGCTGGCTCACACCCTGCAGGGTGAGAAGTAGAGGCGGTCGTTGTCGGGACTTCTTCCAAGGATTTCACAGGTGAGGAAGCATCTCGGTCCCTTCTTTATTGATACCTGCCTCCCAGATGTACAGTGGGCGAGAAGGACCCCAATCCGGATATCGAGCGGACCGTTTAGCAGTACTTAGTTTACCTCTCCATTACGCCTCCCTCTCCGCCAGGCTCCATACCTGGTACCTTCTCCATCTCCAAAAAAACAACATCACAATCCTGGCCGATCCGCTGCCCGCCTTCGCCCTCGTGTTCGCAGCCCTGAGATCAAAAGATCGACCATCGACCGACAACTTGCTCCTTCGACGTGTCCTCTTCTCATATCCTCCTCCTCTCCCTTGCATTCTACGATTTGCGGGCCCAATACATACCTGCTACCTGGCGTTAACGAGCACGGACCTGAAGCTGGTCTGGGCCAATTCCTCCCTTGCATTACACCAGTTCTCGACTCCCCAAGTTGTGGATGTTTTCTGCAACACCTTTTCATCCATGATTGGGCAGAGATTGGCGCGCAGGAGCAACTCTGGAGGAACACAATGAGCATCGGGGATGGGAACAAGAGCAGGCCCAGCTGCCTTCTTTCATCTTCGAGTGACCTGAAGTCGTCGAGGCGACCTCCTCCCACTGCCTTCGAAGCGGGTTGATTTGTACTGTCCGCTCCGACATTTTTGTCCGGCCAAACCAAACTGCCACTGTTCAGATTGGAGCTCAAGACGACGAATCTCTCTCAGATACGATGCTTACAGCACATCAGCGTTACGCGAATATGATGGATCCCATCAGAGATCCGAACATCTATCAACGCCCGCCCAACAGTGCGGCCCCTCGACAATATGCCATTCCTGCTCACTCGAGAGATCCCGGACATGGGCGTCAACGTTCAACAGGACTCAGCTATGCGGAACATGAGATGATGAGACACCGGAAGACACCTAATGGCGGAAGACTGTACGAGACGGACACATCTGCACTGGACAAGAACGTGCAAATACCAGCGACAAAGCATGTCATCCTCGGTTCCTCACCAGCCTTTCAGCAATCCACTCCTTCCTTCACCAGCTCATCGCCATGGCCGGAAGCGAAGCGTTCTCAGCGACCAGAGGGGTTCAGTGGAACAGATTTAGGAAGAGAAGGAAGACATGAAATGCGTTCTCAGCCCTACGGACCCTCTAAACCATTGCCCTTTCGCCCAGCTTGGGATTTTCCTGGCGGACTCGATTCAATGCTCAACCAGACTCCGCCATTACAGCCGACGCAGAGGTATTATGTCCAGCCTGGCTCGAATATTCCCACCGTCCTTCCCGCTACTCTTCAGTCTCAATTTGGCCCCACTGCGTCTGCCGGGCAGGAGTTGTATGGGCCATATTGGCCAGATGGAACATACAATCCCTATCGTCCAGCTGCCATTCGAGACAGTCGTTTCTTTCCCCGCGCTCCGGCCGAGAGGTTTCCTTTAGACCATCACTTCGAACACTTTCATCAGCTTCGAAAACCTGGCCGACTTCCAGTTGCACCGAACGATGCTTACCTGCAAAACATGGCTCAGCAGATGTTGGGCACACCGATGGGGCTGATTGACTCGCCTTCGTCGAAGTGGAATCTTCATCAAAATGCGTATCAGGCCTCACAGAACCCCTACGCTCATCCTTTTTCGCTCCGTGACCGCCCCATGGCAGACTCGGTGGCTACTGTGACCAGACCAACATTGGCATCTCTCATGCCTGGACCCCGTTCGGAGCGCATCGCTTTCAGGGATAAGACCTTCGCTTGGGCGAACAAAATCTATATGGATCTCCTTCAGACGATCAGATGTACTACCAAGGACCAGCGTTCAGGCGCACATGGTGCCTCGGGGACGAGGTCTTCGAAGCCTGCTATTTTCCCGAGACCCCCCATCAGAACCGGATCGCACTTCCAAGTTGATTCAACAGGCCCACCACCATCCCAGCGACAGGAGCCTTCTAATCCTTTTTACCGCTCTGGTACCGAACAGTCAACGTACGATATCCCATCCCGACCACAGACAGCAATCTTCAGACCGCAGCAAGCATTAACTGCGCAAGACTTTCAATCTTTTCCGAGTCACGGCGAGTCCAGGAATCTAATTGGTCAACAGTATGGATTGAGAGATCGATCACAAGGGATAGTGCAGGTCAGTACCAGGACCAACAATGTCCCACAGGTACCCTCTTATGAGTCGGCAGTTACTGCACTCCAAACTATGGAACTGTTGTGTCAAGAAGCTGATACTCCCTGGGTGGACGGCATGCTGTTGGCAGGTTGTCTGGCTTACGGCTTAGGCAACTACGTCAAAGCCGAGGAATGGTACAGAGCAGTTTTGAGGCAAGATCCTAGTCATATCGAAGCTATGTCTAATCTAGCAGCAACTTGCCACGCCCTCCATCGCCGCGAAGATGCCCTCAAATATTGGTCAGATGCTGTCAGCTTACGACCCAGCTACTTCGAGGCGGTGGAGCATCTTATCGGATTGCTGTGCGCAAGCCACAGAGCGAGAGAGGCTGTCAGTGTGATCGAATATGTTGAGAACACGCTCCGAATTCGGGGCGATGATCCTCATAACTCTTGGGCCGAATTGAGTGATGCGGAGAGCGACACCAAAAGCCACGCTTCAAGCATTAATACAGTCGCTTCGTATGATAACGCGCAGTATGACTACGATCTGGATTATAGTCAGAATATCTCGGCGGGATCCGAACCTCAGCCTCCCGGCTATGGTACGAGCGGCTATGCAATTCCTGGGGCAGACAACGGCCGGATGCTGGCTCTTGTACATGCCAAGGGAAATATGTTATATGCCCTTGGTCAAAATCATGCTGCGGCTGCGGCATTCGAGGACGCCGTTCTTATCTCCACGGGCCGGAGGAAACAGGGGATCAGGGGTCTGATTGATGATATCTTGACAGCTTGTCTGCGCACCATCCGCGATCGTGAATATGTCCGAGCAAAGCTCGAGAGCAAGGATCCCATCTTGCTGGCACCCGAGCACGCCGAAGCCACTGCCAGGCACATGTTTCCGCCAGAAGGCAACTTACCTGGCCTAGAAAATGTCTCGACTCCTTTT